GAGGCATGTGGGCAAACAGTTTTCACACTTTTTGGCTTTGGCCAGTAGTAACCGTATAAATGATATAAACAACAGCCGGAAGCGGAACGACATGCATCATGGATCCAGTGACCACTGCTCCGACGCTCGACGTGCAAATATATACTGGAATATTCAAGAGCTCTGCCAGAGCGATGGCTGCGGGGCCATATTTCTGCCACACATCCAGGGTGCATATTTGTGGGTGGCCAGATAAAGCAAAAATATAACGCTGCACATGTGAGTCTCATGCCGCAGCCAGCGAAATTAATTAAAAATTGCATAACCGCCACTTTTATGGGGAAGCTGGCACCGGCTGGCTGGTAAGCTGGCTAGCTGGTTAGGTGGTCGGCCGTTTTGTGCGAGTTTAAGGGTCAGGGCTACCCCTTTTTAACTTTCTTAATGTCTGACCTATTTACCCGCAGACGAGAATGTAATTTAATTAGCAGCCCTGCGAGGCAAAGGCATAAAAATAGATAAAATACATAAAACAAGTATAACATTTATTCCAGAGTTTTGATAGAAACATATTTGCTAATCCATTTTTAATATTAACATTGTTTTGTAAATTAATCAATTTACACTTCATACCTACAATGTATGTTAGCTATTTTAAAGCCATGCTAAATAAATAATAAATTAATTAATTTCATTCATGCTTTTTGCGTAAATTGATACAATGATATTTGCAATACAATCGTCTATTTGACATTGTAATTTCTACGAAATATTTTCCTGACTGCCTGCCTGCCTGCCTGCCTGGCAATGTTTATTTTGTAAATATTCCCGAAATGTTGCTCGAATTATGCAGTTCATTATTCAACCCAGGACCACTCCGCTCGGCATCCACACGATGAAAGGCCACAGAAGCCGCAGGGCCAGCTGTCGTTGTCAACGCTCCTGCCGTCAAGCCCAAAAAATGCAGACCTGAAAAATTCCAACTAAAATGCTCATCTATTCTCGGCTAAGGTGTGTGTTTATGTATGCCAGTAAAGTAAACCAAATGTACAAGCACTCAAAGAAATTTTGGAGCTAAAACAACACACATTTTTGCCCTATAAAATGTTGTGTAACATCTTTATTTAAAATAAGATTGAAAGCTTTATAAATTATAAACATCTTCAATGGGGTGGTTACATATTTAAAAATTTGATTGTTGATTTAATTTAAAAAGTCATTTGTTTCGACTTGTCTTCAAAATGATGTATAACGTGTTTATATTTATATATATATATATATATATATATATATTGTATTGTTTCCAATTGACTTATTTGCTTATTTGCTTTTGTAGGCAAGAATAAAACGGCTTTATTTACGAGTTTTGTAACCTAAAATCAATATAGTTTCAAAATACAATTTTTAATAAATAATATAGTCTTTTTAAATACAAATTTCAAAAAGTTATTATTTTTGGTACTTGAAGAATTCAAGAGAGGCGTTGCTTATTCGATTTCATATTATAAAATTCTGATAACACAATCTGTGTCTTATTTAAGATTAGTTTTTCCTAGTGTTTGTGAAAAGAATGCTGCTCGAAAATGAACAACGCGTTGTTGGGGCGGGCAGCAATGCAAATAGCTCGTAATACTGCAATTTAAAATGCAAATGCGAACAAGGCCAAGTCCGATGATGGCCAGCATATGAATTTGTACTGGTATCTGTACTGGCAACTGTGTGTGTGTGTGTGTGCTCCATAATCAAGAAAGGCGGAGAAAGTGCGGACTGGGGGCATGGCCAGATGAATAATTGAACTTTCACTTCCGCCTTGTCAGCCTGATTGCCTCTGGATGGTGGCGGTGTCTCCTTAATATATATATCTCTCCTCCAACGTCCTTATTTTTTTTTGGTTTTCTCCTCTGTTGTTTGATTTAGCAAATGGTCGACATAAACGCAACAAAGTTGGCTTTGTTTTCCATTTGGTGGTCTTGGCCACCGGCAGCACAACTTTTTCTCGGTCGCGGCTGACCGCTGTCAATTTATCTTTGCATATTTCCAGGCGTCCAATTAGTTTCGATTCGCTGCCGATTCGATTCAATTCGGTTTGTTCGCCGGGGTGATAAGCGTTTCAGCCCGATTTCATTTCCTTTGAACGTCTTTGTCTCGAGGCATTTAGTACTCAATTAAATCGCTTTTCGAAGGACATATTTACGAGGCCTCTTTCGTAATTCCTTCAATGATAAATGACCCCATCTCGATTGGGTCTCTCAATTAGAACGCTTTGCGTGTGCCTAAGTGGCATCTTCGGGACTTAGTCTAAACCGATTAGCGGAAGGGATGGATAAAGGGTCCCCTTTGCATAAATTAAAAATTAATTAAGAGCCAAGAAAAGGACTGAGTAAAGCACTCTTCGAAAAGTAATTAAGGCTGACCATCAATCTGGGACAATCTGCATGCGAAGCCAAACCGAAACCCAAATCCGTGTCCAAACAAACGAAAGATTCCAAATTAATTTGCTTTATTTTCGACTTTTTTTGTGTGTGGGCCGAGAGCAAACATCAACGCTTGTGGTCGGCTGTGGCCCAAGTCGCTCAGCTGTAAATAAACAGAGGCAAATTCAAATAAGCAAAGAATAAGCAAGAACAAATAACTAACAAGCCAAAGTTGGCTCTAACTCCCAGACCTCCTGACTGCACCGCCACAATGGACCGAGCCGAAAAGCGAAATAAATCACATCCATTCACAATGTGCGAGTGAAGCGTAGCATGTCCTGCCAAGGACCCCCCATTCATTCCATCCAACCCAACGACCCACAACCTTATACTGCCAATTTCGGTTCACAGACAGTGGACTGAAAAATATTGTTGGGCCAAGAATACGCCACAGATTTCATTTGATGTGCGCAATGATTGATTTAAACTTCAATTGAATTGATAGCCGTGTTGAGGAGATATCATCATCTCCAGAGACGATGACCCGTTTTAATCGCCAGCTCAGCATTTGCATATACAGCCACTGTATGCTTGGCTAACATTGAAAGGTCAAATGAAGGCAAATCTTGGACGCCCTACCGAAAAAGGTAAAAAAGATGCTGGCATGCTTACCCAAAAAAAAAAATATATATATATATATATATGTATATTAAAAAAAAACACACACCTGCTGTGAATGATGTATTGTGCCGTCGATTTTCAGATAGACAAAAGCTGAGACCCGGGGATCCTTTTACCAGTTTTGTACCCTCTGTGTTCTGTACTCTGTATGCTGTATTCTGTAGTCTGTATTGTTGTGCCGCATTGTCAATGCTTTTGACAATAGCACTTTGGTCGGGAAATTCGAAAAGTGCGGGTGGAACGCTAGGACCTGCGAGGCTCTTCCATTTGTTGTTCTTTATTGATTTAAAGTTCACTTCAGTCGCGGTCGCTTTGTTGGCGAGTGTCGCACACACACACAGACACAGACCACATTAAACTCATTTCCCCAAAGGTGCGGCAATTGAAAGGACGTCTATACTATACATATAGCACACGCAAATAAACATCCGGAGTTTACTTAGTTTGCTTGACATGGGAATTACACGTTTTGGCTACCAAATGTTTGCCTACCCCAAGGGGGAATAAATGCTGCCCCCTCATTCAAATGGGAAATGGGAAATGCGAAATGCGAAAGTGTAGCCCAAGGCAGTGGCACATCGATTACCAGGCAAGCAAATTGCTAAATAAATGTACATAATTTGAAAATTGACATTTGCTAATGATAAGCCTCTGTCGCTGATGCTGAAATATGGCCAAATAGGGAGCAGCATCTGAGTTGGATTTTTGGGCGTCAGCTGGTGCCTCCTCACAGGAAGGAAGCTACATTTTGCTGGCTCTCCCCCCCCTTAAACGGAAATTTTCCCCCCAACGGCTCAGAGAAATTGAAGCTGTTTATGGTAAATTAAACCAATTGAGTGGGATTACGTTTGGGCACTACACAGTATACCCCAACTGCTACGCCTGCAAGTGTTTTCGGGCCTGGTTTCTATTTCATTGTCTGCCCGAGCCTGCGGCTAACGAAATTTATATACCCACACAATGCCATCAAAGCCACAAGGTGTTTATGGGCTTAACTCCGGCTCTGATTCTGATTCAGCCTACTCATCCCCATCTTTATCCTCATCCTCATTCTCACAGATTTGCATGTTTCACGATTCCATCGGATGGAAGACAAATAGCCAGCACGTTGCGGTTCATTTGGCTGTCACAACAAATGCCGAATTGATGCAAATGTAAATGGATATCGAAGGAATCTCAAGCAGAAGTCAGGAGATGAATTCAAGGAAATTTTCATATACTCTCTACACTCCAACGACATTAATAAGGTTCTTTATCGGTATAATTTCATCAGGCACGTAGCCAGGATGCGAAAATTTCCTACTATTCTTTTCGATTTAAACAGTTTGGGTACCAAAATAAAGGTGGCACAGAGTTAGATTTAAGTAGATTAGGTATATGTGAATTTTATATATTTTATTTGACTTTAATTCACTCTTATAATCTTACACCATTTAAACTTTTCGAAAAATGGGTGTACTAATTACTTATTTAAAAATTAACATTCCTATTGGACTAAACTACACTCTATAATCAAAATAATAAAGAATTAGCTAATTTATTTGTTAACCGAAATATAAGCTAAGTCTGTTAAGCTACTCAAGGCAAAGCAAAAAACAATCAAACAGCTGTATTTATATATTATTTATTTGTACTCAGTTCACAGCAAAAATCACTTAAGCATTGTTATTTATTTATTTGTGTATCAAACAAAAATACTTTAATCGATTATTTCCTTCTCCAAATTGTTTCCAAAATTAAATGGAATTTAGATTTAAATGCTCTCGTAAAAGGCAAATGGTTGTATGGTCTTTGATTTAAGTCCAAATGTATAGAAACCCACTTACTTTTGCATCAGCAAACTGGCTTACAAACTGTTGTTGCTCTCTTTTCAAAGTGAACCCATAAATATGGCAGCAAATAAATCGTATTTCTTTTATTCAATTGCAGGACTTGGCAAACGATTGGCAGTAATAGCGGTCATCAGAAGAAGGAGTCCAAAGAGCAAATGTCGGGCAGCATGTTGTCCTCACTAAGGGTCCTTTTCTGTCGCATTAGGGCAACATTTGGACGGGCCAACTAATCGCACACTCTTCTCGCGCACCGCTTGTGGTCATCGCCATGACTCTTTTGCAGAGACTGCAGGCCATGTCGGCCACCACGGCAAGGACGATGCTGGAGGGCAGCATTAGCATTGGCGGGATGAAGGAGCCGCTGGCAACGGGACACCAACTGCCCGTTCTGGAGGAGTCCGCCTCGCATGCCCGGTATCTAAAGTTCATTGCCGACGGACTCATCGACGAGGGCATGGGCGGCAGTGCCGTGGGCAGCGGGAGCAGCATCGCCGTGTCCGTGGAAGATGTGGTCGCCGGACAGGCACAGGACATGGACATCCAGGCGGGCGAGGCATCCCTATCCACCGACGACGCCGACGGCAGCAGCCATCTGGCATTAGTCTTCGTCAAGTGTTTCATTATTGGTTTCATCATACTGGCCGCCATCCTGGGCAACATGCTGGTCATTGTGTCCGTCATGCGGCACCGGAAATTGCGGTGAGTCTATGGTTTCGCAACTATGGTTTATCCCCACTTTATCCACTTGCTAGACTTGTGTGCTCTTATGTCTGCGCTGACACTAGCTTCATTAATGTGTCGCACTGAATCAAGTGGTTTTTTTACCAGCTAGGGTTTCGGTTGCCATGTCTGCACCTGCTAGAGTTTTATTCCTAGGAATAGTACATTTATTACAACAAAAAATATCTAAATACTCGGGCTTTCAAAGTATTGTATTACGCTTAAAGACTCCCTTAAATTATTATTGTTTATATAAATATATTTAAGAAATTTATAAAATTGGTTTAAAAGCTTCGAAAAGCTTTTAAAAAGGTAGTTGAAAAGAAATCTAAAGATTGACTTTCAAAGTAAATTATGCACCTGTAGTTATAGTTTATTTATAATATTTTTCCAGAGAACAACTCCTTTGCAAGTTAATTCAGTATAACAAGAAATTCTTAATATTTCTAGTGCTTTTAACGTATTTATCCCAGACAATTAGTTTTATAAAGCAATGTTGCTCAGAATAAGCCCTTGCTCAACACATTCCTTTGCTTTTATGTTTTGCATTGTTTTTGAGCAATTGCCCGAGTTGTTGCCAGTCACATTGTCCACGAATCGCGGATGTTGTCGCTGTCAAGGACATGACTTTGCCATGTAGTACCCTTGTAGTCCTCTTTTTTTTTACACCTTCCTGTCGAGCGATTTTGTGCGATTTGACCGAGCTCGACTTTACGAGTTGGCTGCCTCGTTTTTGCGGCCATTAATTTGTCATCATTTATCATATTTTCCATCATTTTTGCGTGTCAAGCGCTCAGAACTCATCTTGTTCGCCCCCTTTCGAGCATTTGGATTGGTAACAGGGCGTGGCTGGTTTCCATACCAAAAACAGTTGGCCAAGTTAAATGCTAGATACGTGCGTAATTACATTAGAAATGTTAATAGGGGGCGAGCATAAAAATATTGTTGCCTACTTAGGGGGCGCCATTGCCATTTACTTTATGTGCGGCCATATAATTTGTCAAATTTATGAATTGAGTGAGCGCCGCCCTTACATGAGATATATGCTGGGGGATTTGCCAGGTAGCCAGGTAGCTTGGTATCCACGTACGTGTTTCAGTCACAAATTCATAAGCTCAGCACTGTGCTGGCATTTAAAGAACCCAACATAAAACACTCGGAGCGAGGCGACAATGGTGTAACCTAACCCCGGGACATTCAATGTCAAGGCGCAGACTATTAAAGCAGCCCCGAGAAAATGTTTTCCACTGTCATTGCCTTTCGCATTTCGCATTTGGCCCTTTGCCTTGGAACAAACGCACACCTGACATTTGCGGCTGAGCTGAAACTGAGGCTCATTTAGCCTGCCAGGGACAGGCAATTTGGGCCTGACCCTGACTACGTCTATGCCGTCTATGCCGTGCTGCCATGTTGCCCTTTTTATCTGGGCAGCATCTTTTTCATTATTGTGCTCATTGTCATGTGCGTTTTCCGCACCATTTTCACCTTTTCCGCCTCGCTACGCAGTTGAAATCATCACGGCAAATTAGACTTAATTACGAGACAACATGTATTCCCACTTAGGCCCTAAGTTACATCTGGCACCATACCATTTTTGGATCCTTGGGACCAAGGATAAGCCATCTCCCCGACAGTTGTGCGACTTTTCCGATTAGCCACTTAACTTGAATAATTCATGGTCCACAAAGTGTAACCCAATCGATAAGTTGGGTGACAAATTAAAGCGAGTTCGAAGTTCAAGTACAACTTTCCCCAAAGAACTTGAGCTGGCGAAAGTGCCAACTCATAATTGTAATCAAACTTGACACCCATCAACCGTTCCGTTCCCACGCAGCCACTATGTAATCGGCTTTTGGGCATCGCCTGAAAAACATTTTCGTGTTTGCTGCCTTTGATGCGGGTATTTTGCCTTTGTACTTTGCGGTGCTTTAAGCTTGCCCCCGAAATAGTCGACCTTTCGTCTGCGGTTGGCTCAGTTTGTGGTCGTAATTAGGTTTGCGGGCGGTGGTACAATGTCCTGGTGAAATATGACAAAAAGGGCATTGTAACGAGTTAAAAACTGAACAAAACCGAAAATAAGTACCCCTTTAAATCCCTTTAAATTAAAGATTAGAGCATAAAACCTAATAGCATAGCATAAACAATCCATGATTGATGCAGTTTTACAGCTAAAGTTGTTGCATAGGAAAGTTTATCTTTCATATCAAGCCGTTTAGTCTGAAAGCAAAAGTTTAATTTGAGAAGTTGCGGTACGAAGTCAAATCCCTGGGACATTCCGGCTTTAAACTTATATCTTCCGTTGCGGTTCTATGGCACACAGAACGTGGTTATATTCGCTGAATTGTTTGAAAATCAGTCCTGACGTCCGGGCCGATAAACGCATTTGCTGCTTCACATTGCGTATACGCCGCGTGCACATAATTGACTTAACATTTTGCGGTGCCACGCAACGTTGATGATCGCTGGTGGTGGAAGTTGTGGCGGCGTTAAGCTAATTATTAATTAACCCATTAAACAATGAAATCCACTCAGAGCAGCGCCGTGCCAAATTAAACGGCGGTCACACGCGGCGTATTCGCAACGTGCGCTCCAAAGTTTTCATCTCAACTTTGAAAAGGGAAGCCTGAGAACGATTAGAGCTGTGAGTTGTGAGTGACTTGAGAGCTTAATGCACAAATTTAATTTGAGAACTTTGCAATCTCGATTTGACTGGCACTCAGGCTGCCATTTCTTAGTGGCTTCCTGCTTACTTGGTTCCTGCTTAGTTACATCCCTTGACTGATTTGGCTCCCCCGCCCCTCGCTTTACTTGCAGCATCATTACCAACTACTTTGTGGTCTCGCTGGCCGTCGCCGACATGCTGGTGGCCCTTTGTGCGATGACATTTAATGCTTCCGTCATGATCTCGGGCAAGTGGATGTTCGGATCCGTGATGTGCGACGTGTGGAACAGCTTCGACGTCTATTTCTCCACCGCCAGCATCATGCACCTCTGCTGCATATCCGTCGACAGGTGAGTTGCGGCTTAGATTGCCACTGCGATTTAATTATAGTTTCTGCTACTACTGTTTAAAATATATATTTAAGGTGAACATCTAAATTATGGCAAAACAAATCGACGCATCGTTGCAATTTTTTTACTTCCATATTAATTTTCATATTAGAAATCAATACTGTTCCTATATTTTGTCTATTTAATAAAATCAGTTTCGCTACTATCTTAAATTTAATAAAATATTTTTGTCTACATAATTTTGTTAAATTTAGAATTGTTACCATAAGTATTCATTAAAGAATTAAATATTTGCGATCACATAAGTACTAGGTTCTTCGTTATAACCTACAGAAAGCCTTTTTTAAAATTGAAAATTTTTACAATAGTAATTTTTTCAGCCCATGATTCTCATAATTTTTACCATAATAAATTTTTCATCTCTCAATATTGGTAGTATAAGATCTGATTATCAAATTTTGTTTATCCCTTGGATACTCTAATCTAAATGTACATATAAGATTTTCCCTTATAATCTACAAATAGAAAAACATATTATTCTTAAATGATAATTCTTTTAATATTTGGAGTCACATAAGTTTTATATTTTGCTTTTATTATATATGTTAAATATATATATTTTCAATTGCTTGTTGAATATTTTCAAGAAGTCTGCAATCGCTTATTGGTGACATAATCTCTGTTTTTCTGTTATTATTATCTTTTAGATACTACGCCATCGTCCAGCCGCTGGACTATCCGCTGATCATGACGCAGCGGCGGGTGTTCATCATGCTGCTGATGGTCTGGCTGTCGCCGGCCCTCCTCTCGTTCCTGCCCATCTGCTCAGGGTGGTACACAACGACCGAGAACTACAAGTATCTCAAATCGAATCCGCATGTGAGTAGCGCATTTTGTGGGCTCTTAATGCATTTAATTGGACAATTAAATACATAGTAGTATATACCATTTGTGCAAGGTCCTCCATTAAGTCCATTACAGATTTGTTTGGATCGGTCGCCCACGATGCCGGCATTATTTATTCAATTTTCTTGCACATCAAACTAATAGAAAATTCTAATTTAGTTGAAACGGTATCGACTTTGCATGCATTTTGCATAGCATCGACGGGCACGTGGACGTCCCTTGACTTTTCCTCCCCGACCCCACTAGCCCCCAAACGGAAATTGATTTATGTCTGTGTGTGTACGGCTGGAGCAGTTTTACGCCTTTCAGACTGGCAGTCGACAGGTAGCATATTTATTACTCTATTTTATTGGTTTCCTTGTGGAAATACTTGGCAGGCAGCTTGTATAGGAGCTCCAAGCTCCAAGCTCTCCCAATCCATATCCATTTTTGGCCCGTCAGCAGCTGCTGTTTGCCTCTGTGGTTATCATTGCGCATTAAAATGCTGATGTAGAAATAAATGTAGGTAATTCAATTCCGGTTTTGTGCGCGTATTGAAGCTGACTTCAGCACCAGGCTGTGCATAATTTTTGGCGTTTCCTTTGCTTCGCCAGCGGAGGTCCTTTGCTTCGCTTTGCTTTGCATACATAAGCGTGCTTTAATTAGTTTTCCTTGTTTATGCTAATAACTGTCAGCGCAGAAGGCCGTAAATCTGATTAGGTGGTTAGTGGTGGTGGCCTTTTGTCATGCCATCGCCGTTGTGCACAGAGTAATTGAGTTTTTATTGCCGCACTTGGCATTGCAGTAATCGCATTGCCATCGCATTGCCCATACGCAACGTTGGCCGAAGTTGCCAATTGCTAAGCACTACGCTCCATTAGGGCCTTCATTTTGATTTATTGATAGTTGCTTATTGAGTTGCCCGTCACTACGATTTCGATTTCGATTTACCTCTCCCCAGATATGCGAGTTCAAAGTGAACAAGGCTTATGCTATAGTGAGCTCGTCGATGAGCTTCTGGATCCCCGGCATCGTGATGCTGTCGATGTACTACCGCATTTACCAGGAGGCCGACCGGCAAGAGCGCCTGGTCTACAGGTAACAGTACAGTAGCCATTCGAGTGGCCCATTCATTTGCCATCCGACAATTAACGCTAATTACTTGTGTGTCCGATACACCCAGATCCAAGGTGGCCGCCCTGCTGCTGGAGAAGCATCTGCAGATTAGCCAGATTCCCAAGCCGCGCCCGAGCATCCAGGTGGAGCAGTCGACCATCTCGACAATGCGGCGGGAGCGGAAGGCCGCCCGAACCCTGGGCATCATCATGAGCGCCTTCCTCATCTGCTGGCTGCCGTTCTTCCTCTGGTGCGTATACTTGATGCGATGCCCCAAATTAGGCGGAAGTATCGCTTATACTGTGAGGCTGAGGTGTTGCGCCGGTTTTAATTATTTCGGGCTTATTAAAATAATTATCAAGCAAGCAGACGAGGTTTCAAAGTGTTGCTTGAAATCACATCCCTACAAAAATGTTGTTCTGGCAAATTTAATATAAAGCAATTTAATTTTTGTGGGATTTATATTTAAACTACTAATTCTGGCAAAGCTTTAAGTATTTAGGAATTTAAAAATATAATTATAAATCAAGCAGATGAGAAAAAATAAATGTTTGCAACTTAATTTTAATTTTTGTTATAAGAATGCTAGCTTTGGAAGAGAGGTTTTATTATTTCGGTCTTTCAAGAAATATTTTTTTTAATGTGCTGCGAACTTTAGTTTCATTATTCTAAAACACTCAAACTCTTGAAATAACTTTTATTAAGAAACACGGTTAAACAAATAAATGAAACAACCAATCATTAATATTTTTGGATTTAAAACAGGATCATTTTTAATGTAGGCGATTCCTAAAATTATTTTGATATTTAAAAGCCATAAAATGTTATTATTTTTTTGAATTGTTATTTATCGATACCATAAGTCAATACGTCATGAGGAAGCTTAAACTTTCTTGTTGGCTACTTTAGATTCCATACTAACTATTACCTCCTCTTTAATTGACTGCCAGGTATATCGTATCCTCGCTGTGCGACAGTTGCATCACTCCGCGCCTCCTCGTCGGCATCCTGTTTTGGATCGGCTACTTCAACTCGGCCCTGAACCCCATTATTTATGCATACTTCAATCGCGACTTCAGGGCCGCCTTCAAGAAGACCCTCAAGGTGAGTTGCGGGCTGGCCGTCGAGTAATTTGCATTTATTGTCGACTTCGACATCTTGATGGGACTTTTATTCTATTCAATTTCGCTTTGTTCGGGCATCCTGAACACTGAACTCTCTGCACCTCCTTAGACTTAGTACAGGGCTTCGGCAACTGCTGCATTCGCCAAGGAAAGGGGCAACCACACCCACACCCACTGCACAGAAGCAGCAGCGGCAACAATATCGACGGCAACTAAGAACGCGGACGAGGCAACAGCAGCGTCCAACCGAAGAGGCTCACGTTTAGCATTTATTTTGGTAGCTATTGGTGTCAAGGCAGCACAGAGAAAAAACATCTACGAAATTGGGCATTTAATTGGGGATTTTTCATATAAAAGAATTTAAAGACATTAATTTATTAATATATATATAGAGCTGATTTATTTTAAGTAACTTCAAATGAATCCTGAATTTAAAAAAGAAACAAGGTACCTCAAATTAGATTTAATCTTAAAACGACATATACATTTTTTGTTTTAATTAGGAATAACTCTGGAATATTAAACTTACTTGCTTTATTTTTTAAATTGATCATAAAATTGAATAGACTTGATAAATAAATATTCAAATGTAAAATACAAGAATTTAGGTATCACTAATTAAATTCATTCTAAAAACCTTATTTACAATTTTTGGTTTAATTGTTTAACGTTTTTTAAGTAATCTCATGGCTATTTCAAAATAATAATAAAACTTACTTATACAATCATTTTTTTAAATGAATCATGACAGTGAAAGGTTGTATAAACAAGTATTTAAATATAACATAAAAGAATTATGGTACCTATCTTTAAATATATATAATCTTGAAATTTGCTGCACATATTTTTTACAACTTTTGTTTTAATTTAATAAAAAATATAATTAAATTTTTCTATGAATAGTATTGAGTAAACTATCTTTTAAAATGTTAGCATTTTGTTGCATAATTACACCTTATAGATATTTTCTCATGAAAAATCCCTTAGGAAATGATGTAGTGTTTTTTCTCTGTGCAGCTTTGTGTGTTCGGCGGAAAGTGTAGAAAGCGTAGCGTTCATATTAGCTGATTGAAATGCTTCATCTTCTGGTTGCTAAGCAAGACAAAATAGCTTTTCCTCTGCCTGAAGAACTGAAAACTGTGCACGTTCTTTGCTCTACTGCTCTGCCTGCGAATGCTCTCTGTCTCGCTATCAATTTCATTGTGGGTCTGCGGAGTGAAGTGGGCCTTCTTCTAATCGCTTGAACATCTTGCTTACCAATTTTCACATATACATATGCTCGTACATATATCGTATCGTATCAGTACCATCTTCCATCTCTCTTTCCACGCACAGCTGGCGCTTACTGTGCTGATTCGTTGCCTATGGCCCAACAAAAGCTAAGCGCGCCAAAGTATGCAACACATAAAACAGAAAGCATAAAACGTAAAACGTAATATTTAAATTAAAACTGAACCTCTTCTTTGTATATGTATATGTATGCGTATGCTCACCGTCACACACACGCACACCCACACACCTGACTAACAAAAGCGTAAATGCTGATGATGAAATGTTATTCTTTCTCTAAAAATTCTCCCTTTTATGCTGCACACTTTGACACACCGCCACACACAAATACACTGGGTCCTTGGTCGTCCCTTTTTTTTATGCGAATGCGCGGCCTTTCATTTCGTTTAGCATTTTTTATGAACGTTTTTCCTTCCTTTATTTTGTTTTTTTGTTATTTTCCCTTGCTTCCTTTTTTTGCCTTTGTTTTTTGTGTGAAACCAAATTGTCACAGACATGTGCCGCCACCACCCAAAAACCAACCACTCAACACCCAACACCACCCCCTGTCGATTGTCGCCCGTGTCACGCGGCGTATGCTTAACCTCTGAGTGCTGTACAGTAGCGAGCTAACTCTATTAAAACATAATACATAGCGTAAAAATAGTCTAAGGGAACACAATGCGAGGCTTAAAGTTCCCACTAAATGTTGCATGTTTTATTTCTTCCGCCACAGAGCCTCTTTCCCTACGCCTTCTACTTTTGCCGCCGCGGCAGGGGGCGGGATGACGACCGGGACCTGGAGTTCGGCAATCCCAGCCGTAGGGGCACCAATGGCAACCAGCGGACCGGATCCGGATCCGCCGAGCTGGCCAACTGTGTCAACTCCACGGCCTCGTCGGAGATTCACATGAGCGTGATGCGAGCCCGCCAGTATGCCGTCAATGTCACGCCCACCACGGACGCCCAAATGCAGCAGCTGCATCCCCTCTACACCAACTAGACCAGCATGGCGTATACTTGATTTCAGCCCAAGTGCTCCACGAAGATGATGATGACGATGTCTGTGGATGACATCTCCAGATGTTCTCCAACAAGCACCAGATTGCCAGCTTACAAATAAATTACTCGATTACTCGACAAAAACCTTCCTCAAGATCGGGGCTGAATAAGAATTTAGCCACGAATAATAGCTACAGCAACAATACGACAATCCCACAGATTATAGAAAGCCTTCAATAAAACAGCAAATTGACGTGCAAAATGAATTGAAATATAAATACAAATATTTCGACATAAATATTTACCTGTCATGGAGTCATGAATTTCATAAAGATATGTTTATAAGTGCGCATGCAAAAATAGATATACGAATTGAATGTTTGATATACGTATATAAAAAAGATAGATGTTAGCCCACAAAAAATGTGCAGTATGCATTACAATAATACTCGAAACAAATAAACAAATAAAATCTGAGAAATAGTGTAAGTTGAGAAGTTCTTATGATTGCATTTTTTTCTCTCTCTGTATATATTTTATGAAAATTAATTTGAGAAATAATTAAATTCGGTTAGCGAATAAAGACAGGCTCTTTTTTATAAACTCAGTTTCAGTTATTAATTTAAAAACATTATTTAAATTAAAAAGGTTAAAAAAAACTTCAGAACTAGGCCGAAAAACTACAGTCATTTCATTTTCATTTTTGTTTTATTTTGAATTGTAATTCTTAGTAGGGACAAAAATTATTAAATTCGTTCAAAACATTTAAATAATGTAGTTCATTAAACTAAATTATATGTGTCATAATGCATAACCAAACGAAGAGATTCATTCGTTCAAATTTAACATATTAAAAGTTATAGAGCCTAAAGCACGACTAACATATCCATTGGGTCTATTAGCTTTGATGTTTCCCGACTCTAAGTCCCAAACTATTGTTGTAGTCGATAGATGTAGCGCTATAGCCAGATATTAAATACGAATTATACCTGTAGCTATGCTATGTACCTCTATCTGCGAGTAGATGCAACTGACATTCATAGAACTGTTTGTAATCGTTTAAGCAAGTGTGACTACTATAATTCCTAAAATGCTACTCTCTTGCCTGGACAATCTCGATGGAGCACAATAAACCTAACCTTCAGACTCCTAGTCTGTTTAGTTAACTTTCGCTTTCGTTTCGAAATTAGTTGAGTATAGGAGACCTAGGAGAAATTATCAGCAACTGCCACGCCCCATTTGTCACCGCCATTGCGCCCATAAATCAAAGGTGGTTTTCGGCAGAAAGCTGGATGAAATTGTTTGCCTAAAATATCAAATCGTGGCAAAAAAAAATATATACGACATGCATAAAACGCCGACTTTTTCTTACGATTCATAGTCATTATTTAAAGCGCCGGCTTAAGAGCTCACCGCCGTCGACAAATGAGCATCGGCATCGCCCGTCTCTTTCGGCGGCATTACACCTCTCCCTTTCTGTCAATATTTGCTTTATTTAACTCGCAACGGCGCATTGTTTAAACTGCGGAACGCCCACGAAAAATTTGGCAGTCAGCGGTGTTTTGATAACATTTGAAATGTAGCCAAATATTGTTAACTAAATTACGCGTCGAGCGATAAGAGGCTGAGGTACAAAAAGCGAATGCTCTTTAAACCATTTTCCTTTTCGACTTAAATAAATGTAATTTACTTATTTTTAATTACATAAGTCATTGCTTTGTTGCCACAAGTGTTTCCAGGTGCAATGCACTTTAGTAGAAGGTGCATTGAAACGAGGAAATAAAACATTTGATTATATGTCTGATCGAAGTGTTAAAACAATTATAACAAATTGCAAATATTCTAATAATTTAAATTTTTAACACCGCTGTTTATTTAATACAACAAAATAATAGTGTTTAGTCCACTTCACTACCCCTTTTACCCTTTCAAATTAGAGTATTTTTGCCGGGGAAGTGTGGCACGTGTCCGTAAACCACCTGGACGGCAGAACCAACAACAAAAACAGTTATAATAAACAAATATACGATTAAGTTTAACCGCAAATTGGCATGTCAACTCATGGGGAGCATGTGACTTTCAATAAAAAACAAACAAAAAACTTGGCGCAAACGTCGAAAAAGTAAATAATTAAATTATGGCAATTAGGCAAAGCTCACGACGATTACAGTCGCTGGTAAAAGTATGCTGACGAGTCATTCCATGATGCAATCATAAGTTGATAAGTTGAAAATTCTCGCATATTCCACACACAGACTCTTCAATGACAAATGACTTGTGAGACTACTTCTGCCAGCGACTGTATTTTGATCTTATATGACTGAATCATTTTCGACAGTAATCGTGGCTAGTAGAAATACGTAACCATTGTAAACGGATAAAATGCAAGCCAAACCAAACTAAATGTAATTAAATGTCCAACAGAAACGCGCAGCTGAAGCTTATTTTGTCACAAAAATACAAACTGAGTTTCTAATAATAATGGTAGTCAAATACTTGTTAAATATTTTATGTATTATGCATGTGAATAGTTGCAACCCATGCATTAAAAAGCGCAAAAAAATAAAAGAGAAATTTAAAGCAGACCACATAAGGGTGATTACTAATTAATGCGAAATTCATATATTCATACGTAACTCGGCCACATGGCATTAAATATATATAAAATACAAGTAAAAGTGACAACAAGAGGAAATGTTAATTAAATTGCGGAAAATATTTACAAAATAATAAACAGCTAGCACGGATCTTGTGGTCGATTGTCGGTCAATTTCGAAATTGTACCTTCCAAGTTTCACGAGAAAAACAAAAAACCATAGGCGAAAACCCCTCGACTTAAGTAAATGTTAACATGTGCGTTTTTCAGTGGAAACTATATTAAATTATACATATATATTTATTATACAAAGGGATATGTTTACGGTGTATGCATGTATTGTATATAGTATCTAGATACATATAAATTAATGAAATGAAGCAATTACAATCGTATGGAATAAAAGTAAAGGTAATAATAAAAAGGTTCAAAACATCATCATATGAGTTGCTGCTTTTCATTTTCCCCATCCGTTTCCACGACCAATCTTCATTCCGGTTCAGGTAGAGATGCGATGGATGGCTCGACGGTCTATGGTCGTTATGAGTGATTGTTATTGCTATACGTATCTCTAAACTTTTTCTGTATTAACTGATATGCGTTGTAGACTCTGTCAAATTTACGACCACCAATCGTCGGCGATAAGCCAAAAAAGAAAGAAAAGAAACAAAGAGCGACTAGTTAGAACAGGAAATGTGATTAAACTGGAGTGCCAAACTCACCGTTCTTTCGCCGCCTTGAAGGACTTCTTTCGCTGCTTGAGACACGCCTTGTCCTGGGCGGCATCTGGATTAGGCAGATCGTTGGGCGATATCATGGTAATGTTATCCGGATGGCAGAAGAAGGCTATCGAGTGGCGACCACGGGCACGAATGTGTTCCTGTTCTGGTATAACCACGCGATGTTGCTGGGGGTATAATAAAATAGATTAGATGCGTTCCCATAAATTGAATGAGCCTTAAGGGGGTTACAACAGCTTGAAATCTATATCATTTATGGCTCCTTACAATCTTTATATTGACTATTAATAAAAAAGTTGAATCATTTTCTTAACAGCTAATCACTTTTGTCACTTTTTGTTCAAATAAACTATATTGGTAAAGCAATTTGTTAAATTAAATGTGGTTTTAAGTGTTTTTCTGTTAAAATGCATCGTTTTCTTTTAAAGTCACATTTTCGATTTGCCTAAAAAGTAAATAATTAATCATATGCATCAAGATTTTGCTTGGAAAGAACTTCAAGTTGTTTTAATATAAAATGAATGAAGGGTAGTATTTGCATACACCTAATAATAAAAATAAAATCAGCTTTAAAGCAATTTAAAAACAATTTTAAATGCTTTTGTACGAACAAATAAAGAGTCTAGTCTGGTTTTCTGCATTTAGAAATAAACTGTTTTTAATTTATTATTTTTAAGTATGTGCTATTAATCAATTTAATAAACAAGGCAAGTCTTTAGTCTGTCTATTTGCATTTATACATTATTTCTTTAAATCTTCAAAGTATTATTCATTTATTATTTGTAAGCTGGTGCCAATAATCAATTTAACAAATTTAATTTAGATTAAGGCAAGTCTCTATTCTGTGTTTCTTAATTTTATTGATTAAGCTGCTGCAATCAATTCCGTTTAACAAATTAAATGCTCACCAAGGCGGGATATCGTTCCTGAGTCCAGATATTCAAGATCTCGCCGACGTTGACGAGAATGGAGCCGGGCAGGTGTCCCACGCGGTGCCACTTTTCGCTGCCGGGCAGCTTCACCTCCAGTCCGCCCTCGGAGTCCTGGGAGAGCAGGGTGAAGGTGCCGTAGTCCACGTGCGGTGGACACTGGATGACCGCGCCGTTGCCCAGTTTGTGCTCGAACAGCTGTCCATTGGGGCCGTCCACCTCGTTGAGGTCGTCCTCGTCGCGGGGATTGTGCTCCGGCCGGAAGTCGGGCTGGTTGGACAAACAGCGCTGGTAGCTGTACTGGCACCGGCCCTTGATCACGTCGTTTTGGCCCGGCTCGTCGTCCACAATGGGCGGATAGTAGAGCATGCGCAGGGAGCTCATGTTGTCGTGGTCGCCGGACAGCATATGCGAGTGCTTTTCGAGGAAGAACGTGTGCGGAATGTCCAGCGAGACGGCCAGCGCCTGCAGGATGAAGCTGGCCAGCGCCTTGAAGTCCGTGGCCAGGGTGCTGATGTGGTCCGCGAATCCGGGCAGCGGCTCCTCCGGCAGATTCTGGGCGTTCAGAGTGCTGATGTTGAAGGCGTGTCGCAGTTCCGGCGCCTTGCCATCGAATCTTTGCTGGCCGCGACTCACGTAGCCGTGTTTGTCCCCATCCGTGCGGATATAGTGCTGTCTGACGTCGGGCGGCAGGTCCACGAAGTCATCCAGGTGATCCCAGGCAGTCTTAAGCTGAAATAGCAGGAAAAATATAAGATTTGACATATTTGTAATTTAAGAGAATACTATTTTGGACACTAAAATTACTTTAATTAGTGTTATTTCAACTATAATTCAGTTTATTAAGTATTCTTGGTATTTAAATCAATTCAATTTATTATTTAAAAAGACAAACCATATTGAAAAATTACATTTAAGAAACATTTCGGTTTTTAAATAAATAAACCAACTTTCCAACTTTCATTCTGACCTTGTGATTCTGTTATTTATTTTAATCTGTATAGAGATATGGCTTCCCCTGCAATATAAACTATCAATATCAACTCCTATCATGCTGATAGTATATATATATTACTGAGATTTTGAAAGAGATTTAAAAATTGCTGGTAGATTTATGACGTTATTGATTTAAAATAGCACGGCGATTTGTCGATTGAAGATAAAAAAAAATAATTATATTTATCGGTTAAACAATTTATTGAAATTTTCTTTGGGGTTTATTTTATTATTTTATATTTCAAGGTTTTTTGTTCTTTGAACTTTGTGTTTGGTTTGCACTTGTTCAGCTTTACTATATAGACATCTTTGAATAATTTGAATTGAATTTAACGAACATTATTTACTTAAACAATCTTGTAAGATTGTACGCAACTTTGATATGGTCTTAGCTTCTCTTTAATATCGAAATTTTATTTTGTTTAATTGTTTTTGTAAGCTTTAAATTACCTAACTACCTACATATATTACAGTAACTTATTCATCTTAGAATACTTTTATTTGAATTTAAAAAATACATTTTAAATGAATGAGGCCTTACCTTCTCGTCTGATATGCCATGGTTGACCAGCAGGGCCATGCCCTTCTCGGAGAGGGCCTTCTTCAGCTGGTGACCCACGCGGTTGACCACCGACTTGACCGGCACCTCCTCGATACCTGCAATTCAGAAGAAAGAAAGGAGCGATTAGTGGGCGTGGGAATAACCAGCGGAACTGCCACTCAACCGCTAATTGTTTTGTGGTCGCACGTTTATGGCTTCTTCGAATTGTTTTCCACCTGGCCATCATAAAGTACGACCCAATGTTTATGGCACCATGGATGGATTGAACACTCTATGGCCGAAGGCAATAAATAGCTGGCTCGCGAGCACTTGGTCGTTTGATTTGAATGTCAGGGCCCATTGAGAAGTGTGGCTAAAAGGCGTCCTATGTGCACACATAGTCCAAGTCCGGCACTTGGGTGAGATAATCGGGCATATGGCACTTGGAATCTCCGATGAGCCACAATCGAACAATGGCAGGCAAAAAGGCGAGCTCGATAATGTGCAATAGCCCCCATAGCAATAAAGGTGAATGCAATCAATTTCAATGCAACGATGCCGACATTGACAATGCACAGCGGAAAATAAAAAAGAAAATTCGCGGAAAAGCCGCAACGGAAGTGGTGTTTCCACCCCGCCATTTGGACTTTAAATCTGTTGTATAGATAGCTACCTTTATCTGGAAGAAGAGCGGCAAAAAACCTTGCTAATGTGATCACTTACTCATGAATGAAATCGGGGAATGCAAAGTAATTATATACATTCCCACCAGTGTCACACTGGAAGTTACTTTGTTGCTTTTTCCGCCTGCCCTTAGCAGCTCACCGTTTTGGCCAGTGACGCACTACTGCCCCCGGTGACTGATAATGGTTTTCAGAATTTCCAGCATTTCACAAATAATAACAATTACGCCGCTTATCATGCCGCGTAGTAGTAGAGCTTGCTCTGTCGTCAGGCGGGAAGTATTATTACGATTATTATTTGTTCAAATGGGAGACATCACCAGATGTATGCGGAATGATGATGAGGCGGCGGAGAGGTCAGTCGGGCGAATTGAATGATTCCAATTGACGCCAGCGGATCGCCTTTCGTTTTCATTAGGCATCAGCGATCCAGTTTTATTTTTGTTTTGCTCGTTTTGCTTGTTTTTCCTGCTTCTGCTGACATGCAATTCAATTAGGCGGCAATTGGGATGCGAGTAGCTTTTCAATTTGCCACTTTTTTTAGTTTTCAGTTGTCAGTGCTAACTTGTCGCTAATTTAGCTAATTGAGTCAGTAGATTCACTTGGTTCCGTTGAGGAGGCCAAGTAGCTTGAAGATCATCTCTCTCGAAACTGCGATCGATGCCAGAATTTCTCGTCTCGACGTCTCGACTTGTTTTCCTCATGTTTTATTGTGTTTTCTATTTGATTGGGCTGGGCGCTTGTTGTACTAATTTATCGTTGAAATTGATTGGCTTTTATGCATTTATGGTCGGACATAAATTGCGGGCACGCGTGAAGCATTTCTGTTGTTTGTTTTCAACGCCATTTGATTCTGTATATTTGTAATTTAATTGCAATGGGCAATTGAACTCTTTGTACACTTGGAAAAATATGAACTCTGCAATCTGTTGGATTAATAATTATTTCACGGAGAAAAATAATTTTAAAGTGCCCTTAAGTTGTAAAAAATAACTACAAATTCTATATTTATAGCTTGTTTTTTGTAAAACACTGTCGTTTAAATTTCTAAAGTCAATTTTTTTTTGCTAGGTGTAGGCATTATGTGGCGATCGGAATTTCCATATGGACATATACTCATGCGGGAATAACCCCTTAAACATAATCCACAAATAGATTCCAAATTCGCCACTTGAATCCCTCGGTTTAATTAATTCAATTCAATATTTATAGACCCATTTAAGTTCGTATATATGTGGCAATTTGGTTGCGGAATTTTCGTCGAGAAATATGGCTGTGCTGTATAACTTATTTATAGAAGACTGAATTGCGGATACTGGAAAGTGTCTTGAACGAAAGGATGAAGGGTAGAAATGGCCTGTAGATGTTGGGCTAATGGAAAAACAATTTGAATGGCATTGAAATATACGCGGGCACGGGGACAGAAGTCAACGGCAACGAGGTAATTGGCCAGAATAATATTATGGTACTGTGAACTAAATTTAGCATCAATTTGTGTTGAAGGTTGCAAATTAGTTTGGCCAGCTGTCAATTCGATTTGCAAAGATGGCTCAATGCATAACGAAGTTCAGTTTGTGGGGTCAAGAGAAATCCGCCCAGGCCGAGCTGGCAATTTCTACACACTGCTTTTGCCAGAGAGAAACAGGCAAAACGCGATTGTGTGGCCATTAAACCAAGCGCCAGGCACGTCAGCCACAGCCACAGCCAAAGTTAAAGCCAAGAATCAACAGGTTTAAGCTGGTTTCGATCGGTTGCTCGGCAAAAGTCCAACTACTTAACATGCTCGTACCGCCTCGTATTTCGGTAGTATCTTTAGCCTGTTGTTGTATTTGGCTTTACGAGCAAAACAAGGTGAGGTCCGTCGATGACGCTGTGCAGTGAATCCCCAAGCCCCAAAAACAGAAAACCGAGATGCGTCATTACCACCACCAGGCCATGCCCGTTTCCAAACTGGTAACTGCGAAGCACGGAAAACTGGTCGCCGGCAGTGAGTAAATAAAGCTGCAATCACCGCATCATTGCAGTCACAACAAAATCTGGTTTCGTAACTCAAATAATTGTAAATATTTTGATGCGTTTGTTTGAGTTTCCGCACTGGGCCCCCTTTGCCCATAGAAACAGACACAGAAAACATTCCACAAATGCCACAAGTACGACTTTCAATATAGTTCAAAAACCTCTCCACTTTGGAGCCCATGAAAAACGAAAAAACAAATAATCAAAACAAAACCAAACAAAGGAAAGGAGAGAAAAAAATCCAATTGAAGTTCCGTTGACATAAAATGCCGCAAGGCAGCGACTTAATTGCTTCTAGCTGCTTTGGGGGTCAATGGCTTCAACGGGGCGAGAAGGTCAAGAGAGTGCCTCCGCTTCCGCCAAGGCCAGGCCCCACTGTACCTGCTGTACTCGGTGTGAGCCCTTGGCGAAACTTACGGAACGATAAGCAAGCATTTTCCATGGCATTTTCCATTTTCCATTGCACCGGAGAAGGAGGAGAAACTTAAACTGAAACCGAAACCGAAACTGTGTCACATATCGGCAGAGACCCAGTTAACACAATGGGTAAGGTTCCGAAATAGGCAAATGGAAAATTTTCGGTGTGGCCAAAGAAGGGCAGAAGAAACGCTGAAGAACAAACAAAGCCATTAAATCTGGTGGAACGAATTTGAGCCCTAGGTATGCCAAAGGTTAGCCAAAGAAACTCTTGGTAATCTCTTGGCAGTACAACAAACACAGACGAAATATATTAGTTGTATGAGTAGCAGGGAAAAGAAATATGTTATCCTAAGTATCTCAAATATACTTATAATAAAAGATTTAACTACTACACACAGAGAAAAGCGGAGTACTAAAATTAAACATTAATATGTTTGTTTTTCAAAACATAATCTTACATAAATTGAACTTAAAACAACAGGAAAATAATAGATATCAATAATTTCTTTAATTTTAAATCTAAATATGTTCAACTTTAAAAGTAAAAATGAAAGTGTAACACACTTTAATTTAAACAAAACACCCCTCGCTGATAAATCAGGAACGAAAAGATTAATTTAATTTATTTATTTATTTTCTCCGGGTGTATATACTATGAACATACACGAGGAATGATATTTATCTGACAAAGCTTGTAGTGTGATTTTCCTCCAAATGTATAAATATTCATAGACTGTTATTTATCTAAATATTCATATGTTTTGATTATTAAACTTGAACTTGTTTCTTACCTCAAATATAAAGGATTGTGTCACATTTATTATAATGTATAACAGAACAAGAAATCTAAACAACTTGCGATTTAGAGAACAATCACTCACAAATTACTCATGATTTTTAATTTTAAGAAACCGCATTAAAATACCAGGCAACAAAAGCGTTATACTTGCCGGCTTTTTATACACAAAAGTACTTCATAGATTAACTATCTATTTTTAATTAGTTGACATTAGGCGATAGGGTATAAGTTCTTCGATCAAATTTTCTCCCGCTAACTTTAAATTATTCATTATATTTAACAGAGAAACTGGGATCAGGTGTCGGTTACACAAGTCAATAATTGCTTATAATTAACTACGTCGTAGTTGAAGTACCACGAACAAAATTAACTAACTGCAATTAAGCGAGGGAGCCCCTTTTAGCCCTAAACAATTGGGAATAGTCACCCAAACAGAACTGTCGATGACTCAATGACGAGTGCACTTAATTAAGCCCAGCTGACAGCGAAGTTCTCAAGTGCACAGAGAAAAAATCTAAGAAAATTAAAAAGATTATTTATTTTTGAAACTTCTAATAAGCCAATTTTAATCTTATCTTTTTTATATAAGACATCTTAACTAAGTAGCAACGTGAAAATTCATATACATAACATTCATTCAAAAGAAAATGGTTATGACTTTTGCGAACCTCATAATTTTATAAATAAGCCATTGCATTCTTTAGGACTTTATTTTATATGTTTTTATATCTTAGCATATGATTTTCATGGGAATTTAAGTGAGTGTGCTTAAAAAGAATTTGTACACAACATAAACAGCAAGGCAAAGTAATAAAAAGTTGAAAATCTACTACCACTGATAAAACACAAATTAAACAGTTCTGGAATGTTTACTTAAGATTTTGCTTAGTTTATTGTTATTATTAAGTTTTGGATTAGAAGCCATAACAATATAAAAGCATTTAAAACCATAAAATACAGGCAAAACAATTTGAACAAAAATTAATTTCATATAAATTATTTTCTTTTCAGTTATTTTTTTGTCTGCTTGAGGTATACTATATTTCACACCATATTCAAACGTAGCATTGGAATAGAATTTATCATGCCGGGAACTCCCCAATCAGTTGTACATTTCCGAGACATGTCACAGATAAGTGTTATTTTTTAATGGAAAAACTCCTCCATTGATGATGGCAAGGTTTTGCGTTCTTTATTTTTCGCCGTGCACAAATCGCTGGCCTAGCAACGAGTTTGAGTGGCGATCAGCCACATATTTAATGGGAATGGTACCACCACCAGTAGCATGGCGTTAGCTTTGGGGGGAATAGTTGGCAGGGGGTTACTTACCACAGTGGGCGAGATCGATGATCGGAACCACGCTGCGCGAGAGCAGAGTGTCCAGTTTGTCGTCACTGCTCTTTGTTTTTATCATTTTGTGTGCTGAGCTGTGCTGTGTTGTAGTATGTAGTATGTAGTATGTAGTCTGTGCGATTATTCCGTATTCCAGAGGTTCTTCGACGTCTAAAGTTCTTTGGTTTTTGATTGGGGGGCGATCGAACAACACTCGCCGCACTTGTGCTCGCTCTTTATCTTAATCACAAATGGGGCTGGGGACTGGGACTCGAAACCGAACGGGGGATCCGCAGACGAAGTGCACTTCCAGCGATGGCTGACTAAATAAAACTGAATGACAGCAACGCACAGAATTCGATTATTAGACTGGTTATATACTACCGATTGAGATCGAAAAAAAAATATAAACAAACATTCGAAATCGCGCATCTGAGTGTTTTGTATTTTTGTTTGAATTTTCGCTATTTGTTTTTGCAACGGCTATAGTTTTTGTTTGGCTAGCGAGCAAACGCTTTGACAGCAGAAATGGCTGGGAAGTGAGGGGGGTCTTAGTGGTTTACGATCCAATACGATCCGAAATACGAACTGGTGATTGGTTTTGGGTGATTGCTGATTTTAGAAGGGCGCGTGGCGGGCGAGAGGCGATCGAACAATCGCCTGGCGCTTCTTGAAAGAACTGAGCCACCCGTTTATTTTATATTTGATTTCTGGGGATGGTTCCGACTTGGGCTTCTTATCGCAGCGGTTTACGATTTTATTTTGCAAAAACCTACTGATTGCGAGCAGTCTAGTATGTCGAGTATGCCTGCATGTGCGTCGCAATTAGATAAAATTTAATCAAATCAAAAATTGTGATAACTAAATTAGCACTTGTGGTTCTGCGGTGGAGGGGGTCTGAGCCAGCTGCGTACTCACAATGGCTAAATGTAGGTAACTTATGGTAAGCGGGGCCGAAAGGTGAGACTAAGCGAAGCCGTCAACAGGTAGCAACGTCTCGGTTTGCTTTTGCAATATTTGTGTTGGCTATTAACGTGGCCCGGGTATAACCATATATCCACATATATATTCGAGTATATACTTGAGCTACAGATACAGATACAGTTACAGATACAGCTACAGATACATTTACTCTGTGATGTGAGTATCTTGTATCTTGTATCTGGCAGATCCCGTTTGGCCGTTCAACGGCACTCGGACTCAGGTGTGAGCCCTCCTGCCTGCCTTTTCACCCCCTAAATAAACCAGCTGAGCGATCTCTTTGCTGTTGCCAAGCGCGTTTGTCTTCAGGAAATGCCTGCCGGATGAACAAAGTCTGCCAGTCTGCCAGTCTGTCAGTCGATCAGTCTGTCTGCATTGCAAGGGGTATTTCTAAGCATGAGTAAGCGATTGCCTCGCCTTTCGCTGCCAAAACGAATGCCAACTAAAACTACTCGAAGCGCCTATTCAGCTCGAATTTGTGACTTATACCGATGAGCATTTGGTTTTGCTTTTGCTTACAGTGAAAACTCGCTTTCTTTTTTCGCACAGGTTTCGCTTTTCATCGAACACCCGACCCGACACAAGCAGTTGGCCAACAATCTACTTAGTCAATTTTCGTATCGCTTTCAGATGCTTTTTTTGCACACTTTCCATCATTTTGTAACACACCAGACACTCGCGAATTTAACCTAGATACACCTTAACTAGTGCAGAGAGGAACGGCGTTTGTCTCAAAACATTTGCGATCCGCGATTTTCGGTCGCTTCGGATCCAGTTCGAAAACGATCGGTAGTCGCTGTAGAAACTATCGATGTTTTGTCAGGCACTCGAGTCTCTAGATCGTCTTAACACTTCAGTATTGTAGCTCTCCGATTTCTACATGACCAACTACAGTTTACATATGAAATAATGTAAAATGTTATACCTTTAAACATTTTAAATCAAATGAAATTTCCATTTCATTATCCGAAGCATATAAGTTTAATAGTTATTATTTTCAAATTTAAGGATTTAAGGAATTGTAAATCGAACATCTTTTGGCGTGAACTCGAGTTTCTAAGATCGTGTGAACCACCCGTTGGCATTTCGGTATTATACACGACCTACTTACTTTTACACACGAAAAACTGTAAAATATTTAAATTTTCACAACCTAAAACCAGGCAGCGCTAATCATTATAAAAGAAATAATAGAAAATCGCAATTTAAAACTATGTATTTTTTGAAGAAAAAAATGTATTTCTCGAATAAAAGATTTCGCTAGAAGTCGAAATACTATCAAATCAAGTTATTTGAAGTATGAATGTGCCATAATTTATTTATACTTTATCAATTTAAATAGTAAAATTGCTTTATTAAAAATACCAGTTTCAATTAATAAGCTTTTGTCTCAGATTCGTTGATTTATTGAGATCGCTGGCCGTAGGTGTCATTAAACTTTTTCTGAATCAGTTCATAGGCGCTGTAGACTCTAGGGGATTAAACACAAATTAATAATAGATAGTAATAAAAAGATGTAACAAATCTTACTTGTCATTACTCGGTTCGACACCTTCAATGGGGAGATCGTTGGAAGATATCATTGTTGAGTTATTGGGATGACAAAAATAGGCAATGGAATGTCTTCCGCGGGTGCGTATATGATCTTGTTCAGGTATAACGACGCGATGAGGCTGGGGAGTATTATGTTAGTTAATTGGAAATTTTCCCATAATCAGGAGTAACGTACCAAGGCGTGGTATCTCTGATTTGTCCAGATGGACAGCAGTTCGCCGCCATTTATGAGTATGGCTCCAGGTAGATGGCCCACTCGCTCCCATTTCTCGCTGCCCGGCAGTTGGACCTCCAATCCGCCCTCCGAATCCTGGGCGAGCAGAGTGAAGGTGCCATAGTCCACATGGGCACCACATCGTATGGCGCCCTCACTCTGACCCGGTTCATCGTCCACAATCGCCGGGTAGTAGAGCATTCTTAGGGTGCTCATGTTAACCTCATCGCCCTCCAGCATCTGGGAATGCCTGTCGATCAGGAACGACGGTTGAATCTCCAAGGCCACCTCCATGGCTTTCAGTATAAATGTGGACATTGTTTTTAGGTCCTCGCATAGGGTGGTAATATCGTCGGCAAATTCTGGCAGTGGCCCCCTGGGAATATTATGTTCATCCAGTTTGCAAATATTGTAGGCGTGTCGCAGCTCAGGGGTACTTCCATCGAATCGCTCCATGCCAGGACTAACATATCCATAATTCACACCATCTCTTCTCCTGTAGCGATCCTGCACCTCTGCTGGCAGATCCAAGAAGTTGTCGAATTGATCCCAAACAGCTTTAATCTGGGAAAAGAACAAGTAATAAGACAGAGATAACAGGGATTATCCAAACTCACCTTATCCTCGGCAATGCCATGATTAACCAGAAAAGCGATTCCCTTTTCGGTGAAAGCCTTATGCAGTTGCTGACCAACCCTATTGACAAGGGACTTGCCTGGAAATTAACAGATTATTATTGTTTGACTTTGTTTACTGATAAGATACATTATCAAATATATTCCTCTGAGGGATGGTGGGAATTATTTGAAAGGCCTGCCTTACCCACAAAACATGTAATATGCTGGAGCCTTACAGTAGTTTAAATTAATTTATTTAAACGAAGTTCGATGGGAAAACTTACCGCAATGGGCGAGATCAATGATCGGCACAGCACTTCGCGAAACAAGCGTCTCTAACTTGTCCTCACTTATCTTGCTCTTTATCATTTTTAGCAAACAAAGACCTGGGTATGTAAATCAAACACGAGAAAGATAGTGTGTGGGCAAACTCAGAGCTCTGAAATGTCAAATACGATGTGAACACCGAGCGCTTCTCTGGCAGACTGACCCAAACAGAACAATTCCATTATTATTATTCTCCAATCTGTACCCACCTTTTAATAACCATTTTGTATTGCATATTTTTGGGGTTTATTTTTATAGTTGTTCGAAGATAAGCATATTATTGCGGGTTCAAAAACACACTTTTTAATTACTTTTCATTTGTAATGACTTTTGAATTACTTTTATTCTTTATTTAATATCAATTGATGCGATCCGGCACTTTTCCTAAGAATAATTATGCCCATATGCAACTTTTGCCAAGGCCATAGTTAAATCATATGCGTTATGTATTCTAAAAACAAAAAGGTAAAACAAAAATTAAGTAGCTAACAATTTGCGAAAAGCTGTTAAAAAACAGCCGTACTTACATTTTTGTAGACGGCTCTTTAACTAAAATATTTAAGTCTTTAGGGTCTATCAGCGTTGAACTATTTGGATGACAGAAATAGGCAATGGAGTGCCTGCCTCGATGGCGAGTTGAAATTTGATCGGGAACAACAACTCGATGTTGCTAGGGAATAATAAATATATAAAAATACCCTCAGATAAGTTATATAAACAAACCAAGGCGTGATAGAGCTGATCTGTCCAAATAGCCATGGTTTCGCCGCAGTTTATGAAGAGTGCTCCCGGCAGATGACCCACCCGCTCCCATTTGTCACTTCCCCGCAACTTGACCTCCAGTCCGTCCTCCGAATCCTGTGCCAGCAGGGTGAAAGTGCAATAGTCGGCATGGGCTCCGCAGCGAATCACTTTTCCAGAATCCTGATCATCCACCGGTGGGTAGTAGAGCATTCGCAGGGTGGTTAGATTAAAGCGATCATCGGACAGCATGTAGGAGTGTTTGTCGAGGAAGATCGATGGAGGAGCATGCAGGGAAAATTCTAGGGCACGAAGAATATATCTGCCCAAATCATTAAAGTCATCGGTCAATGAGTTCATGTGCCTGGTAAATCCAGGCAGCTGTTTTTCGGGAAGATATTTAGCCTCCAGTTTGCATATATTGTATGCATGTCTTAGTTCCGGTGTCCTGCCATCAAAAAGCTCCATTCCAGGACTCACGTAACCGTGGTTTTCAGCATCTGGAGCCTTGCTTCTTTCGTAGGCCAATTTCACATCGTCTGGCAGTTCAACAAATCCATCGAAATACTTCCAAGCTGTCTTGATCTAAGCCGTGTATGATTAAGTATTGAATTACCGAAGATTTTGTTTAACTAAATACCTTTTCATTTGAAATTCCGTGATTAATTAGCAGTGCATAACCTTGTTTTGAAAGAGCCTTTCTTAGATTTTTGGCCACGTTCTCAATGCCATTTGCCATATCTATGATTGGAACTGCATTTCGCGACAGCAACGTTTCAATTTCAGATTCCATTATTAAATTGTATTATTAAAATTTCTTATCAAGTGAGCTTGGGATGTTGTTACTTCAAGCACAACAAAAATGAGACAAAAGTACAGTGCCTTTGTTTTAAAATTTCAAAAAGAGCGATAGAATTATTAACAGAAACATGTAAAATTTAAAAGCATACTTTTGGTGGTTTTAGTCAGCAGAAATTGTGTAGAAATCTTGTAGATGTTACCCACCATATTGTAAACAAAACTATAATGACAAGCAAAGTTTACATTTAAATCGTTTGTTTATTGTTTGCAAATAAAATATACAAAATTACATTTCATCATAAATTGGGTTGACAGTACGCCGCTGTGTTTTTCGACAGGCAAAAGTTCAAAAGTTTGCCAGTTTGTCATTCGCCTGCCCAACAGTCCATAGGATAAAGTCTAATCACTAAACTATAATATTTGGTACTATAACACCATCCCAATACAGAAAGTGCAACGATCTCTTGCACTCTGCAATGGCGACTGATCCAAACAACAGTACAAAAGGGGCCGCATTCCTCGAACACTAACAGAATACTACGAAACAAGCTTACAAGAACTACAGATTTTATAATATCCATCTTGACCTATGTGTATTCCTAGGGTTGGATATTTGGGAGGTGGGAGTTGGGGAATGGGAATGGGAATGGGGATCAGGGAGCAGGGATTGGAAAGAGGAGAACATTAAAGTAAGTGTGCATAGCTTAAGGTAGCGCCAACTAACGTCGCTGCCTACTCCTTTTTCGCCGCCAGTTTGGCCTGGGCAGCCGCCTCCTTTTTGTAGTTGGCCACGTAGAAGGCACTGAACATGTAGGTGAAGAGGCCAGCATTGAAGGTTAGAAGGGCGGCAATGGATTTGGGGAAGTTGCAGTTGGGCTGGAACTGGATCTGCAGCGTGTGCACAAAGATGATCAGGAACTGGACCTATAAGAAATATATACAACATTTCAAACAAAATCTTCATGCATATTTAAGCAAAGAAAACCACTTACAATCTGCAGGATGGTGATGTACTTCTTCCACCACAGATACTTCTGCACCTTGGGTCCCATCGCGGACAGCAGATAGTAGGCGTACATGATGATGTGGATGAAGGAGTTGATGAAGCCCAGCAAAGTGCCATGTCCGCCGGCAAAGTACTTCACTCCGATGAAGGCACACACGGGCATCAGAGTGTGATGGTACAGGTGCAGGAACGAGATCTGGCGCTGTTTCTTGCGCAGCACAAAGAACACGGTGTCCAGCAGCTCGGTGATCTTGGCAATGTAGTACAGCCACACGGCACGAGCCATCTATTACAAATTTAAGGGGTGTTAAAAAAAGGTTACAAAACCAATGATACAACGACTACTTACCCTCATGGAAATCGGATCCGACTCATAGGTCACCGGCTGGCACTTGAAGTTGTAGTGGCCGCCCCAGCCGCCCTTGTAGCCCTCGTAGAAGAGCACCCAACTGAGGAGCACCTGGACGGCATTGTAGACGAGGAGTGTGTTCTTCAGCTCGAAGGGCTTGCGATCCCGCATGTATCGGGGTCCGGCATACAGGCAGAAGTACAGGTAGGCTCCCAGGATCATAAACAGCGGTCCGGGGGCATTCGAAAGGAACCAGCTCTGATAATACAAAACATTTTAATATTTATTGAATTTATATTTCAAATCAAATATGTGTAAAAATCCCGTTTAAAATAAATCATAAACAAGTCATGCATTGTCTTTCTATATTCCGTCTAATGTCTAATCATACAAAAACAATATTTTAATTCAATTAAAGAAAAGGTAAAACAAGAATAAAAAACGCATGTATTTTTATAATTTATTTAACAATTCCAGCGTTGTCTTTCATAGAAAACATTAGGGTTGATTATTATTATTTAGACTATAAAAAAATATATAAAAATTTGAAATAGAGTTAAGGAAGCGCATAAAACTTATAAATTATATCATTGTCTTTTACAGGAAACATTTTTTTATATTATCTTATATCTAATAAAATGCAAAAAAAGGAATGTTTTTTGATTACAATTGTAACATTCTCTTTGCTAGAAAATTTTTTGTTAAATTTGTATAGTTTAATGTCTAATAAAATACAACTTTATTTAACCAAAGACAAAATAAAAACGAATCAAAGAAGCAAATATTGATTTAATCAGCAAAAATCTTTTGTTAAATTACCTGTTATTTAATAAATAATAAAACCCATAATCAAGTTTTTCATTTAAGAAAATTTGAAAAGAATCAACGCATATGCAAATTTGTTTCCCCCAAACATTTTTATTATGTTGTATATGTCACGTTCTCCATAGCATTTCACCTTGATAAAGTTTAATCAATGGCAATGTTTAGGCAATACAAATATAAGCATCTTTATGGTTTCATGTCAGATAAAAATTAGGCTCTTGAATATATAACAAAAGGTTATCTCTTATTTAAGACCAAAAGTAAAAAGCAATACATTTTAAGATGGCAAGTAAAAGAAATACAAAATTGTGTTTATTTAATAGCATTTTTCGGCTTTTAAGAATACCCACCTTGGTGCGCAGATCCTCGTGCTCCACGAAGAAGTTGACCATCCGGTCCACAATGGTGTTCGTCTCGTTCAGTCTGACCGACATCTTGCCAACTGAAAGTGTAGGGTAATCGAGAAATTAGTTCGGATTATGCAGTGCCATGGATTAGCACCTTCTACGACTGCGACCATGGATCAGTTGGCAGAAGCAGGCGCATTCGATCGCTGTTTGATTTACGCGCCGTGAGCATTTCCTGTTAATAAGCTAGCCACACAAACAAATGCTTTCCAAGGCGAATCCGCGCCTACGCTTCGCCAGTTCAGAATATACATTAATATATATATATATATACATATGTATCGATATTTGCATGCCCATAATGCACTGATCGTTGCGGGTGCGAAATGTCATATTGGTAGAATCGTGTAAATCAGGTGTAGCGTTGCAAATTTTCGGAAAGGCAATAACCTGGCCAAATCTGTTGAAGCGGCGGAAAAAGCCACCAGACCGACAGTTTAAACTTGTAATTTATCGAGGGCTTATTATTCGAGCTCTTAGAGCCAGAAACTGTCGCATCAGCAATTACCCGTTGTTGCGCATTTAATTCTTTTTTCCACGATTATGATTTAAATATATATTGTTAAGTGGCAGTTAACTGCATGGGCCGGGCCAAAATCAAGGGACACGATACGGCTTACGTGAACAGAACTGGTTTCGTGCTTATCGCTGTGGTTGCGTTAACTTGGCCAAATAAGACTCTTGTTCTCCCCTTTTGTCTTCGCTCCTGGCTAGTTTTTGTTCAGGTCTCTTGGAAAAGCCCAAAAGCCCAGGAAGCAGGATAGTCCAAGGACAAGGCAGACTGGCCGCCTGCCAGGTCCATGCATCATTAATTTTATTTTTATGGCAATGCGATCAGGTGGGACAAACCGGTTGGTTGAACTAATTGGTTGGGTAAATGATTTAAGCAGCTCAAATATTGTACAAAAAAAAATATTTTAAGCATAAAGAGTTCAAAACATAGGCAGATACTAGCAATATTAAGCAAGAAACACTTTAAGAGATCCTTTATCTTACCTAATTAATTTCTACTTTTTAGCACAGATTTTACTCTTATTAAGAAAATTCTCAATTGATTTTGTATTTTGGAAATTTTATGGTAGAGTAAATTTTAAAATCCATATATAGGGAAAAAGCATATATACATATATGGCAAAAAGAAAGAGAACCTTCTTTACATGTTTTGCTAAATTATTTAAACAGCTCAAATCTTTTACCAAAATAATTTTGTTTAAGCATATAGATTTTAAAACAAAGGTATATACCTAAAGTATTCGTTTAAAAAGATCTTATATCATACCAATTAAATTATACTATTACTTTATTTATAAGCAAATTAATTTAAGAACTCTCAACTGATTTTAAAGAATTATTTTTAGATATTTTAGGTTGTCTATATATATAATATAATATAAAAGCCAAGGAAATGGCTAAATAAATTTGTTCTGTTATAATGATATTTGTTAAATTTTATAATTTTTATTCCAAAACAAATAACACATTAATTCTCTACTGACTATAGATCATAAAAAATCTGTATAAAAATGCATTCTTCCTTCGTCTTGCCTTCTGGCTATTTATTTTTAGGACGTTGTAAGAGAAGTCTACAGCCAAGGACAACATGGCAGAATTTTATGGGCATTGTTGTGAGGGAAACGAGTTTTGCGGATGCTATTTTTGCAACAAATGATGATGATCGTGATTATCTGTTGACCAGCCCATCTCAAAATCCTTTGGCAATCAGTGACTAGGCGCTTTCAATGCCCGCTGATATCGGCCATTATGTAGACATATAGTAATGACAGCCGACATTAACGGCCACTCGACGCACCGTTTTGGCCAAATAGCTGGCCCAGTTCGGCTTTGTCTGAGCCACTTGGCCACTGGAATCATCATTTGGCCGGGCTCTAACTCTATTTCTCTATTAATTATGTGAGCACCTGCCATCTAAGACTCCGCACTCGCACTTGCATTCACACTCCAAGTGAACGCCATTATCGAATTACCCAGCGTTTTCTGTTCAGTCATCGCTCTTGGCGGAGCTGCGCGCCAAAAATGCATTCATTCAGCGGGGATATATTGAGATATTGACTAACGAGAATTTCGTTTGACTTATTTGCATTTTTTCGAGTGCCTTTGCCTTTGCCGAGTGTTTTTGCAAGGCCGGCACTTTCAATCGACCAAAAGCCAACCAGCCAGCCAGCCAATGGGGTTTTTGAGGGTGTGAAGATATTGTGCAAGAAATATGTACTATACGAATGTATAGTACCTTCTATATTCCAAGCCACTAAGGAACAATCGAGTTATTTGTATCAGGAACTAAGCTTTCAACGCTTTAACATTGTTTTATCGTGTAGATCTCTTATGCAAATTGTTAACTTGTTTTGTTTGCCTGCCACCGTTTATAATTTAATAAATATACATATATATGGCTGCTCCAGTAACCTGTTAATGCACTTTCCACTCGAATTTCACCGCCACAAAACTCAAATAAAATAATAAAAAAAAAACAAATCAAACTGTTGTATAATCAAATCGAAATGTTCTACCGGTTTGCGGCAGCCGGCAACGAAATTTAATTCTTGATTTATTTGGCGGTCAGCGGTTGAACTTGGACTTGGTTTTAGTTTTGCTTTTGGTTTTTAGGAACTTTCGACTTCGTAGATCTTTTATAGCCACTTAACAGTCATAAATAGTTAGATAATATGTGGAGAATTCCAGTTTGGTTTCAGAAGGCCACAGTTTCTTTGTATCCTAACCTTCCGGTCTCTGAGATCAGCCTCGACTCATCTCATCTCAACTCATCAGAACTGCTGTAAAATTTTGCATATCTATTGATTTTCAGAATCGTCCGATGTTCAGATGCAAATTAGTTTGAACTTTATGGCTAAAAAACGCACAAGTCAGTGTAATTTTGAATGTGAACCTTAGAATTTGTCCAACTTTCGAAAGCCGATCTTTCGTTTGATCAACGAAAACTTCGATTACTCAGACCCTGAGATGTGCTCTCGTTTTGCATAATGATAAACGAAAACATTACGCAAATCATAGCTTCTTTTCCAATCGTGTTGACGGCCGTTTTTGCCTGCCAATTAGCGATTGACAGTGAACGAGAGTGCGTGGCAACGACTGAGTAAATATTAAATGAAGCCAACTAATGGCAAAGTAAATACATATATACTATAAATATCGTTCGCTGCCCTGACGTCACATTCCAGTTTATTATTATGCGATAATCAGCCATCAGCCATCAGCCGGCCAGAAGTCGGCCGATAAATTCTAGACACGCGCGGCGCAAAAGATTTGCACGTTTTGTTCTGTCGCCAAGCTGGCCACCATTTTTGGTCATCGCAGCACATGGGGCGTATGCGCAATGTGCGCCTCATTATGCTAGGGAGATTTGGCAGTCAGGTTATATTCCATTTACAGACTCTAGGCTGATAAGAGGCCGCACGGGAAGGCTAGGAATGTTGAGGACGCCACTTAAAGGCGGTTTAGAAGGTATACATGGACACACCATTAAAAAAAAAAAACATTCTTTAGTCTGCCTGCATACTTTTTTCGAAAACATTTTGCCGCATACAAAGTTATTTCCTACTATGACCTAAGAAGTAAAATTTATTTAAAAAATTGTATTAAAAAAACCAACTTTTTTAGATATTTTTGTTTTGTGTTTACATTAAACTATGCTCGTTGTCCGTTAAAATAATATTTTTTAAGGGAACAGTAAATATTAGAAAAATATATATATATATTCCGAACGAAAGTAGCAACCAAATATTTATATTTTTTCTGCAAAAGGCTAACATATGCAATAAAATATGAAAACTGTAAAGTATTTAAACAAAATCTCAGTGTTAACTTGTTGTTTGAACTATGAGATTGCATTTTATAAAATTAATTATTATTGTATGAATATATATACACTTTTCTGGCTAAATATAAAACAATTAACTAATTTCGCGGCACTTTATCCACTAAACCATGAACATACATTTGTTTTGAATTCTAGAGTTATATATATTTATGGCAACAGTACCTATTGTTGGCTGATTTTTATTCCAAGTGTAGACCAACAAAAGGCAAGACAAAATATTGAATTCGAAGACGAAGTCGGCAGCCTCTGATCGAGCGATTGAATGGACCTAAGGCAATGGCATCGACATCGGCATCGACATCGGCATCGGCAACGCATTAAAAATCTCTACGAAGGTCGCACGTTTTGAGGAAACAAAAAGCGAAGCCGAAGACCTGATCTCTTGCACTGGAGAGCAGCTTGGGATTCCCAGAGTGGCTTTTGTTTTTTGGGCGTGGCCCTGCTGACTGATCAAACAAATAGTCTTGGGCACTCTAACCAACACTCATCGGAGGCGTTTAGTCTGCTTTCGTAGGCTGATTTAAATTTGTATTAACTTAAGTATTTTGCATTAGCCTTAGTCTGTGCTCGGACCTTGAACTAGTGTCTAATGCGAGCCGCTGCAGGCGCATAAATTAGTCGATTTCCGCGTGTCTGGCTAAAACAAAACATTCTACAAAACATTCCAGCAGGAATGATAGATAAACTGTTTCCCGGCATTCCTGTGTCCAATTAACTCGACTGGACAAAGTTTCCATTACTACAAATGTCTGTAAGTGCTAATTGAGTCAACTCATTGGCTATATGTCTAGATGGGGGCATACTACTGCCATAATGTGTGGGATCCACGACTGCCAGTCAGTCAATCGATTAGATCGGCAATTCGAAAACACCCTCCGTTGACGAAGGCGGCTCGAATGTAAATTATTCCATATGCTTTCTTCTTTGATTGGATTATTTAAATCTTGGCAATTTGTCTTTATAAATATGCAATTACCTGTAAATATTTTGCAATGCAAGTGCACACGAAAAACAAGTCAAAGTTCGTTGTCTGAGTCTTTAGTTTGGAAAGAAGCAAAATAAATTACAAAGTATTCGTACTTATAGCTACTAACTGCGCATGCCACAAATCAAATCGATCGATAGGTGATCGCATCAGCGTCTATATGACAGGCCCTTCTTTTAATTATGATCAATTAGGCTCTCCAACTTGGAAAAATACCGCAATAATTAACAGCTTTTGTTAGACAGTCATCAACAGTTTTTCATTTCATTTAATGATCATTGTTTTGCCTTCTGTTTGTGTGTGATATTAATGTCATTGCACTTGCATTCGCAAGAATCATTTGGTCCAGCTCAAGGGCGCCCAGATTGACCTAGTCATTCATAGAAGCAAAACGCAGTATCCACAGTATACCCATAAATATTCATTCTGTGCGACTCCTGACCTCCAATATTTGCCATTGTCATCGCCTATCATCATCATGATCATCGCCTTGTTCTGCCTGGCGATTTGTTTACCTTGCCATTATTATCAGCTTTTTTTGGCCAAATTACCCAGTGACGCCTTGTTGGGCAAACAAGTCACTTGGAAACGCATTCGGCCGAGGGAAAAATTAAGAAATCCCATAACCAGATGGAAATTTGGTGGATTTTCTTGTTATATTTTTTATTGTAGGTGTGACCGCCAGCGCATGTGACCCCAATTGGATTCAAATAAATTAAAATGTAATTTGGCAGGGCGAGAAATGTCACCGAAGAGGGCCATAAACACAAGGCAAAGTCAGCCAAGCCGGGCCGCCAACGTGCGAACGGATGTGCATCCCAAGATACTGGTAATGCCATAATTTTGCTCTCCGCCTGACTAACTATCTCCCCAAATGTTGACGCCAAGAAAACAACAATAAAATCATAAATAAACAAATTGTGCGCATGCGTGAACGTCACCATCACAGCCGTCTCATTCCAAGGGCAATTCCAGCCCAATTATATTGGTGAAAAATTGCTGGCAACTGTATGCTTGCACGCAGCGTGATGTTCGAATTAAATTTTCATGAATGAATGGCATACATTTGGAAATAAAAGATCAACAATAAACTTGTCATGTTCTTATCACATCGCAACTTGGTCCAAACCCAAAACGCATAAACGTAAATGGACGAGTTGAGGTCGGGATTTCCGTCGATGTGTATCGCTTCGTTTAGCACTTCTTCTGATTGTTATTTATATCGCAAACTTGTCCAGTTGTTCCCATTGTGTCGAAAATGTAACGCGAAATTCAGGGCTAAATAAGAGAGCTCAGAGATGATATAAGACCCGCCTGAAATTGGATGCCATATGCACACAAGAAGAAAAATTGCTTGTGATTGCAATACTTGATAATTTTATATTTATAATTTATTTTAAGTTCTTTTCACTGTTCTAATTTAAAAAACAAATAAGTTTTTAAAAGATTACTGAACTAGATTTGAAATTAATTATAAAAAAAAATTATCGGTAAGCTAAACTTGAAGTGTGTAAGAACAATACGTTTTTTCGACCAATTAAAATATTAAAAACAATTGACTTAATCATTTAAACTCAGCATTCATTTTTTTAGAATTTAGTTTAAATTTGTTTGATATTTTTTCCTATTTCCTTACACCATTTTTGAATTTAAAACAATATTTTTTTCTGTGTCTTAATCAGTGGTAATGCAGCTCGAAATCCGTTCGTAGTCATTTGCGAGGGATTATAATAACGTTTAAAATTGATCAATCGGTATGCGATTAACATATGAGCCACATTAGTAGCCATGTGATTGACTTGGCCCAATCGCATCGACTTGTTGGCCATCTTCATTTTCATCTGAGGGCATTACAGCTGGTTTGGTAAGAGCGTCTTTTATTTTTTGCCTCTCCCCCCTTTTATGTTATTTATTTATACAATATTTGGTATGTATTTTTCTTTCGAATTCGTCCGTGCCCAGGTCTTTTGGTCTTTCGGCTTGGGTGTCGTTTCGCAATGACCCCAAAAATGTCTCAAATCTTTAACAGGTTGCCAGCGTGTGTGCATAACTTAGCATACAGTCTGGACACGGTTTCCCATTGTTTTTTTTTTGTTTTTGGTTATTTTGTATAGTTCTTTAACACTTGCCTTTCTGGTGAATTAATTTGATGGGTATCGAAAAATCTGTGATTTATTTGCGGCACGACACAGCACACGGCACAAACGAACGTCACACAGAATCGAGAATCCAGCAAAGGACAGACACTAAAAGCACTTTCTGTTATCCTTCGGGGCAATATCACGCATACGCGGCGTTGTCGATCAGAACGCAAGAACGCAGAACACGAGGCGGCGTCCAATCTCGAGATCTCGAGCTCCACGAGAGTACCCAGGCGATTACTTGGCAGTTGAGGCGCCGACAGCAGACTAAGCGATATCCGGGCCCTACAAGCGGTCTTGTAGCGATCGTATCACGGATACGAGCGCTTCGCTTTCGGCCAAGATTCGCAGTCGCAGTCGTAGTCGTAGTCGCAGTCGCAGTCGTAATCGTATTCGTATAGTATGTGCCCAGCCAAGATCGTAGTCGTGTTCGCCCATGCCTCCGATGATGGCAAAACAGGTGAGAGCATTCAAGCCCGAATCCAGCACTCATTGCATGATTTTTTTAAGGGCCAGTTCTAGGATCTCTCCCGCTAATTACCCATCAGCACTATACCGATGGTAATGGTAATGAGAATTCGATAATTAACTTAGCTTGGTTGAAATATATTCATGAGGCTATGTACTGTACACATGCAGCTGGCAGTCGAGCAAATCAAAACACAAACTGCATTTATGCATTTATCATCGACTGGCCCATATGTATGCTCTTGCAGTTGAGGGAGTTACCATGTACATGTGGTGTGCAAAAATGATTGTGCAATTAAATGGCCCCAAACTGCCTCCGGCCCAGTGCTCATAGTGGCCACTTGATGGATTTCAGCCGCGTCATTCCCTCATTCAAACGAAAAAATGAACAGTTTTCTGTATTTTAGGCTCCGCTAACTGCATTACACCCAGCGTACTAACTCATTGTATTGCGGGCCAAAAAGAAGTCTACACTTGCCGCGACGCACTGGCATTTGCCGACACTGCTAATTGCTCAATCAGAAGAATAGAAAACAAAGTTGAGAAACCTGCAGCTTCATTTGGTTATCAAGTGATTGCCGCTACACACCCACTCATCCCACGCATATTATGGTTCCAGTGTGCACTTCACTATAAAACCGAAATTCCATCGATTCATTCACAGATCGCTGCTGCCTTTAATCTATGGATTTCGATCCGGCCGATTCCCAATTCGATTTCATTTCATTAGAGCTTCCGCCATCGCGAAGGCCGCCTTCGCCTTTGCCTTTGGATGTGTTGGCATGCCCGACGCGTGCCCGAAACTCATTTTGGAGGTGCTGCTGTTGAGGTGCTTTTCTATGCGACGGAGCTCATTTCAATTGCTAAATTTTTTTTGGCAATTTGAGGAAGATTCTACGCAGCTTGTTTTACGTTAACGAGCCCCGCTTTTGAACTCATTTTGAGGCGTGCCAACCCATATCGGAGTAAGCAATAGGAAGACAGTCAAACTTCGCAAACGCTTGTTTAAAAAACATAGGAAATAAATTGATTTCTAATTATTGTGAAAATATTAGGGATGTTTTATGTACTTCCTATTATGTGGTTATCTAAAATTAGCACAGAACCAAGGAAATTACCTTAATAAATAAATACAAAACAAATTTGTTTAAAAAGTACTTCAGACTTATCATAAATTTATTTTAAGATTCATCGTATCATTTTTACGTTTAGGTAATAAGCAACTTATTTCTACACTCCCATCTAGACTTTTATGTTTAGCTACTATAATAGTTCTCTTTAATGGCAACATAAAGTCATTAATGAATAATGTATTTAAAGAAAAAACCCATTAAATATATTAAAGATGTTTTTCCTTTCTACATAGAAAACTAATTATTGGTTGTTTATAACATAAAACAACGAACATAAGATTTGTAATTTTAAAAATCTTCCTAATAACTTAATTATTAAGATTCAATTTATTTACATTTGACATGTGTAGTTTATTGTAAAGCGATGATTTCCGTAAATTTTCCATCCGAATTTTCATCTTTGTCTACAATTCAAACCATAGATTCAAAGTCAATGTCGCCTGGCGGAAACAAAAGACTTCGGACACGAACTCGCGTCGATGCCCCGAAGCATCGGTTTATAGACACTAGATGCTGTTGCCGTTCATTTAACGACTTATTCGATTAGAGATTTTTTATTCAAAGCATCTTTACATTGGCAACAACAAAACGAAAATAAATAAAAACATATTGCCAGTCAGTTTTTGGTTAAGTATTATACGGTTTTAATGTTTTTGAACTTGACAAGATGGCATAATTTGCATGATAATGATTGTATTCGGTGTTTCTGCAAGAACAGGATTGATCGTTAGATGGCGGGTCAAAAAATTCTGCTGACTCCTCTTTGTCTTATTTTGCTCTTAATTAAGTAATTTTCGGTCGTTTTTTAACGTTTTTTGTGGCAATTCTTGTGCGCAATCGCCTGCGTACATTAAAACTCAATTAATGCGTAACACTTAGTGGAAAAAACGCAGCCAAAGCCAGCGAAATGTTGGCAAGCAGCCGAGTCCGCCGAGGTGAACTGAGGCTGGGCTGATTGGAAATCAATGAACTAACAAACTGGACACACAGCGGATGCTGTGCCTCAGCCTTGACCATAACACTTAAACGCCAAAAACCTTCAAAGACCAGTTGCCACTTGCTGGCTGTCAGTCTCCGTTTCAGTCTGCGTCTCACTCACAGTTAGCGTATGTTTATTGAATTCAACGCATAAAAGCACTGCACAAGATCATTAATAAAGAGCTGAAAGCCAAGACTCGAAACTGGGTGGCCGGAGCAGCCCGTCCGAACTCTGCATATACACGCATTCGACATTGAACTGCACAAAGCACCGATACACGATACACGGATGCCGATGTCGATGCCGATGCCGATGCATATCTCATAATGACGATGACAGGCCGGCCGAGTTCCGATGGCTTCTCTTCCGGCTGTCCCACTGAGTCCCACACACACACACACTGACCCGCCCTGGTCAACAAATTGCCAAATTATGTGTAATGGGGGTAATTAGAGTACAGACATGTCGCGTGCATTGGCCACTGAATACTGTACCTAATTGGCAGTGAAAGCTCGGTTACATTTTGGGATAAACTACAGAAAACCCCACACAGTTGACACTTGCAGGGGTCAGTGCAAACTAAAGACTCGCCTCAAAAGGCAAAACCATTTCCCCATCTGGCATTAATTTGTGGCCATTTAATTTGCATTATTTATTCATATCCACTTTTGGGAGGGTGTTTAGCCATGCCCAACTCCCAAGTTTTTCAAACTTAAAATGTAAATTACTTTGGCTTTTAGTAATATTTATAGATTTAGAGGAGACGAGACATGTTTGATGAGTACAGTAACAACTTCCTAACTTGTTTATATTCCATAATTAAAAGGAATGACAAAACAAATATTAATGTTAAATGGACAAAACATATCCAAATTTTATTTTTGTATTAGGATGATATTTATTATTGTTAGGATGAAACCCTAGCAAGAAATAAATAATTAAATCATCAAATGTCTGTTAAAAATCATCACATCGAAACCCCACTGTACCACTTAGCCATGCACATGCTTATGCCTCATTAAGACATTTTTAAAATATTTCTCTTTGACTTCGGTTTTCTCCCATTTTGCTCAACTTCCGAGCTGATTTTCGCCTTATATTGACCGAGTCATTTGTTTTCTTTTTTGCTGTTGAACTTGAATTTTTAGAGTAAAAAACCTGCAATCGCATTTAGTTGAAAGACACGTGCCGCCAACTTGTCAAGTACAAAGTTCGATTATTTGCGAGAAGCAAAATAAAAGGTTTATCAATCTGGGGACTCGTTAATAGAAACTGGCACACGGCGAAGACAATGACTACAGCGTATAGAACACAAGGCAGCGGAGGAACCAGATCGCGATCTCGAAGACTAGACCACGGCTGCTCACTTTATCAAGGGGGTCAAAGTCGACAAAGTCGGCATTCGCCCAGTCATCAGCAACAAATGCTGTGCCCTCGCCTGGCAGTCTGAACTCAAACAGCATAACCCCGATGCGGATTTCTAGTTCTCTGGGGCGATATTTATGGTCAGGCATTAGGTTGATTGCCAAATCGCAATCAGCCATCTTAAAAATAGTTTTTGTGTTAAAAAATAAAACAAATGGCTTAATAAAACTATCAGCAAACGCTCGTTTAGAAGTCTTTTCATTTTTTTATTGTTTTGATTCGCTTTATGCTTTGTGATAGATCTGCAATTATAATGTATATGGGTGATATAATATCTTGGGCTCCAATGCGGTGTCCTGTTATCAGTGTGTGTGGTGTGTATGGATGTAGAATATATGGTGTGCAGTGTTGTTTTTGAGAAAAATCAGACCTCATTTAACGATTCAAACGTATGTTCATTACTCCATACAAGCCTAACAAACTAATGCAGTAAATACTAATGCCACAAAAGGGTTAACTAATTGCATAACTTAAGTAGAAATTGCTTGGCTGGCCCTTCGAACATTTCTATAGCAATGATAGCCCTGAGCGAAAATCATCTGGCGATGATGCCTGGCGAAGGTTTGGCCTTTTACCAAGTCCAGATGCAAGCAATTCAGCACTACCCGAAAGGTCGATCCACTTGGGATACCATAAAGAGACGAATTGGAATTTTATAAATAATTGTACATATATTAATTACTCTACTGCAGATTTCATTCGACAATCAACTTTTTCTTTTGCTAGTTTTTCCATTATACGATGTAAGATTTTGATGATAAATGCGCGTAATTCGTGTGTGTTTTTGCGTCTTGCGTGTGGTTCCGTCGAATTTGTATAACAAGGTACAAATGCTCACCTAACGCAAAAAAGGTTGCATTGTAAAACTGCGCTACTTCGCAACAATATGTTTATGAAAATGTATGGGATTGTATGTGCTATTACGATGATTGTTCCTTGGCCTCCGCTTCAGCATCTAGAAGGATATCGGTTCGATGGGGACGGTGCACTCGCTGTACATCACCCGGTACATAGCCATTTCGGAGATGCCATGGTAGTGCACGAAGGCAGCTGCAATGACGAGTATGTGGAATATCTGATGTGATTGGCCCTGTAAGGTAAACAGAATATTAGGCATGTTTAAAGTTGAAAACAAGAGTATTTTGCCTACCCAAATGTCAAACTTTCCGGGGAACCAACGCTCTGGGACACGGAGAGCATACAGCAGGGCGCCAAGGATGTAGAGGAGGCCTAAAAACAAATATTTACCATTGTATTCCCTTTATCTATTACTGGTTAAGCAACACTCACCCATCAGGATTAGCCATCCCAGACTGGCGCGGCTCATCTGGCTGAACCAGCCCTCCATGATGCTATAGTGAATAGCTGGAATCACACCGGACAGGCCAAAGCTCATGAACACGCCAGCGCGCAAGGGCCGAAGGCCCGGCTCCGAGAACTTGTCCCACAGCGAGACAACGATGGAGAGAACGCCAAGAACGCACACCACCGACAAGTATATCACCTTCGGCTGATAATGGCAATAGAAGCCATAGTACAGCCAAGGCACAAAGGAGCCCATGATCAACAGCGCAATTCCACAGTAGTCAAGTCTGCGGGTAAACAAAATAATTAATATGAGTTTTGGTTTTAGGAGTAACAAACTTACTTAGAAAACAGTCTTCCCATCTCTACAGAGTGGCAACTTAGTGTGTGAAAGGCGAATGAGAATCCCAAGCATACGATGGCGCCGACGAAAAAGGCGCCAAAGACGATCTTCTCCTGCGTCTGAATCTCAACCGAAGGCCGCGATATGAAGTACAAAGCCACCCCGATGAAGGCGATGCAGCCCAGCAAATGTGTCCAGATGTTGCCCGTTTCGGTGTGAACGCGAAAAATGGATTTGAAGCAAGCGCGGAACGAGGGCAGCGGTGGGCGATGGCCGCGGTGCAGAAAGTCGTTGTCCTGCAGCCACTTGGGTAGGTTTTTGTAGTGGCACACCTTCCAGCTGGCCTCCCAAACCTAGAGATAAAAAAGACAATTTAGTAATAGGTTCAAGCAATCGATTAACAAACTACAAACAATTTATATAAATATAGACAACACAGAGCTTAAACTATTTATTTAAAGGTTATACATAAAATGCCAAAAAATCACAAAAACTTCACAGGGAATCTTGCAGTCAGGACCTCCTCCACCTGGTTAAACCACTTCGCTTACCTTGCGCACAAACTCCTCCGCCTGCTCGGCGGCATTGTGGGCCAATGCGCCCAAATCAATTTCATCGGATAGAACGCCAGCCTTCAGCACTTCCGTCATCTGTTGAAAAGATTGATAAGACATTAAACAGGCCGCGAAACGGATGTCAAAAGCTTAAACTACGAGAGGAAAACTAAAAGCAAATGGGACTAACGACCACTCTTCTTGGAGCTTGCGCTTCGACTGTGCTCTCGTTCTTGGCTTTTTCCGCCTCCTGAGTGACATCCGGCTCCGGCTCCAGGTCCGGATTCACGCGCACTACAACCTCCGTCTGGGTCTCCATCTCGAGCGGCTTACAGAGATTCGAACAGAACTAGAACTAAGTGTGCGAAAAAACGAGCGTTCGTACTTTGAAGCTTCTGCCAGTCGCATACTCAGTCGGCACAATTTGTTTACACGTTGGCGGAACAAGAAAGCACCGAATGCGTCCTGAGATAAGATAAGCGAGCCCGAACCGTCTCTCCGTCAATTATCAACACACCGCATCGACGCAGATTGACTATTTTTCTAGCATCTGCCGTTTAAAGGGCTATGCCGAAGCATTTCGCGACTAATCTGAGCCTGACTTTTTATGCCGATGATTAAAATTAGCTGATTGGTCAATATATAAGCCTCATTTGACAGCTTATAAGTTGACAGAGTAGGCAAAGATAGATAAGATTTTACTTTTTAAAAGCTGCGAAATAATGGTCTACTAATTAACCAATTGACTTTAGAGAGTCACATAAAGAAAAGAAACGGCCAAGATAAGGTTTTACAACACATGGTTATGGTTATTTAAATGTGGCAACTAGTCACTGGGTCAGTGCAACACATTGTAATTGATAACAGAACGACATTCAAATGTCGAATGCCTGCGCAGTCGGAAAATTGCGACTAACAAGTTTCAGGAGATAACCACACGATGGTGGGTCATCGATAAGAAGTGTTGACGACTGTTATACTTGTACTTTTCCACCTGACTTCCCGAACGCTGCCGACCCCAACTCACCTCCGCCTCGATGAGCTGTGTGTCCTCCGGAGTGGAAGGCAGAGGACAACCGGCGTCATCCTCCTCGGCCAACTCATCGTCATACCCCAGAAGGTCCAGATCATTGGCGCTGAGAGAATCCTCCGGCCCCCAGCCGCGTCGCTTGCGCAGGATCATCTCAACCTGTTCGAAGATGTCCTCCTCGGATCCTGAGCCTCGCAGAGTGGCCGTGGTGGTGGTCGCTCCCTCGGCCGTGGAATTTCCAGCTGAATCCATGGAATAGGTGACCCTGGCCTGGGTGGTCACCTCCACTTCGGGTGCTCCACTGTGCAAATCACCCGTCGAGCTGTGCTGCTCCAGCAGATTGGTGGCTGAGTCCATGGCGATACGAATTCCGAATCCCTGGGGCGCTCCTCAAAAAGTTTCTGTAATAAAAGGCGTTCTCATCAATACGATACGTTTGAATTTAGTTGTTCAGAGGCAATGAGAAAAGTTTGTTTGCGCCACGCCAGCTCAAGTATAGAAATGCGATATATTATTTGTTTATTTGCCTGCCCCGATCGCATGGGCACATATAGTATTGGGGCGACCTTTGTATCCCAGCGATATGTGCCTTTTGTATGTACACATGTATCTGGTTTCTATTGGTTTGTATTGCTTTGTGGGTTTTATGCATTGACCAGATAGTTGCTAATTGAAGTTTTACATAAGATGGGGTCCCACAAAATACAGTCGGTCCTCAAAGGGTTAAAGAGCATGTGAAAGTTCTGTGAAACCTTTGTGGATGAGAATACCAGTGAACACCTTACATCAAGGCCACGTGTAAAGGGAATACTACAACTGGTTTAGCCCACACCAGCACTCCACTTGCGCAGTTCCCATTTTTTCCCGAAGTTTTTAGGCAGTGTCACAACACCACCGAAGGGTTAATCACTCGATTTCACTATATTTCCCAATTTTTCACTCTTCACTTACCACTCGAAAGGCGCGCAATTGGCGTTACTTCAAAGGCAGGCCCTCGAAGTCAACACTGGCGCGGAAAACTAATAGCTGCACTTGCTATAATTATCTACAGCTGCAATTTCTTTCATATGTTTTTCCCTAATTTTTTGGTTAGAGGTGGGGTAATATCGATGATTATGTCATCGATGTTTTTAAATTATCGGTTATATCGATGTTTGGCAGGAATGATCTACTTCCTTCCATCTCTAAAAACAGTCGGTGAGAACTGAAGTGGAACTTCCATCTCTATCAATTCGCTGCTCGCGGAGTATGTCTTCGCTAAATGCGGTGTAAGTCCACGCTAATGATTTTTAACAGCTGCTAAGTTTTGTGGCAACTCTCTAAAAAGGCGTGTATTTCCATCCATCTCTAAAAACAGTCGGTTAGAACTGAAATGAAACTTCCATCTCTATTAATTCGCTCAACTCGGAGTATGTCTTCGCTAACTGCGGTGTAAGTCCACGCTAATGATTTTTAACAGCTGCTTTGTGGCAACTCTCTAAAAAGGCGCCAATATTTCAAAACGGAATCCACTAAATCGACTTGCTACCGGTAAACAAAGTGTTTTCATTAATAGCTTAACATTGTTGGGAGCTCTCAACTTTTTAATGGCGATCAAAGGTGGTAATTCTACTGGTTAAATATTGGATATTTGCCTAAATATTTAACATACAATATAATTTTCATGAGAATTTGTCGACCGTGACGATATTACAAGCCCTAAATGTACTGCCTACTGTATTTCTCTGTGACTCGTAAAATTGTTTTAAAAGCCCCTTGTTAAATTGAATAAACAGAAAGTCAACCCAAAACTGGTAGTTATGAAATCACTTAGTGGATATCCGGGGGCTTAACCTATTTAAGTATGCAAATACTTGTATTTCACCGGGTACTTTTCCAAAACACAACAAAAAGCTATCGGCAAAACATTTAAAATAGATTTAACTTATATAACAAAACAAGAACGGGAACCAAAGCATTAATTTAAAATTTAAAATTAGATAATATTCTAAAATGACACGTGCCTTTTAGATCTTTCGGTAAAATTAAATTGTACCTTATACAAATGATATAAATTAGTAAGTTCTCAAAAAAGCGGCAATATTTTGTAACAAAACACATAAATAAGAAAGGCAGTTTTCATAATAATAATTTAGAACGAAAATATGACCTTATCCCTGTCAAATTTAAAATAATTTCCATTAAAAAGCAAACTTTTGGTAAATTTGATTTTTTTAAATATATATTTGTTTAACTCCTTTTTATTCGTTTTTAAATGTAACCTAAATCTAGCACTTTTAAGTCCATAACTTTTCTTACCGATATACGATTTTAATAAGGCATAGCTCGACATGTTTGTATTTTAAATATCTAAAAATCTTTTTTTCAAAATTGGCTTTGCAGAAAAGTGACCTATATCAGCACTTCTAAGGGCATAACTATTCTTACAGATATTCGATTGGGAAAAGGCATAATTTTATAAGTTTGTGGTTTTAAGCTCGGAAAATCTGCATTTTAAATCTTGAGTTGTAAATTTGGTTCGATTTTCTTTTCCAAAAATGGCCTTTTCTTACAGATATCCGATTTTGAAAAGGCATAGCTCTATAAGTTTATGGAATTGAGTTTCTAAAACTCTTCTAAGGACATAACTTTTCTGTTTATAAAATATAAACAGCAAAGTAGGATTCCATTTGGTTACTATTTAATAGCACACGTAGAATATTTATTGTGTATAAATATTTATTGTGTATAATGGGCAAACATCAATGTTTCATAAAATCAATTAAAGTTAACAAAAACCCTAGAACTCGTTTTTCCGCATGGACACCATACCACATAGAGATGAAACCCTACTGACGAATCCAGGCCAATAACATCAATCAGCCGGCCGCGTTTTGAAGCTCTGGGCGTTCTGATCGCAGTCTCCGCGCCATTAGAAACTCGGCCAAGGAGCAGATTTCGATTTCGCACAGAGTAGCAGACCAGCAGACCCCGACTAGCGGTATTAATCGACTGTATTAAACTAGTAGCGCTGAAGTTCAGGGTCATTATCACAAAAGAGAAACACCGATGAAACGCGCTGCTCGAATGACAAGCGGGGCGATAACAAATGCAAAACGGCTTTTTGTTTTTGGCCCGTCATGTGGCTGAAATGGAAATGGAAATACTAAAGACCCGGAAGAGTAACCTGCCGGGTCCGCCGACCAAGACCAATACAGCTGCAGTGCATCCACTTTGGCAAATATTTGGCCGGGTACTTAGCACGTGGATCGGAATCTGGGAAAGTGCGTGAAATTTTTCGTCAATGGGGCGGATAATCACATCCCATCCATGCATCGGTCTGGAAATGTGTTAACTAGCCCTTCGTAACCCCTGTTTATGCTTGCGTAAGTTAAGTACTGTAAGTACTCGTAATACAGTCGCGGGGCGTGTCGCCTGCATACTCGCACTCATAGTGTATGTATGCTGTCCATTGAGTATTGAGTCCGTCCCATTGACGTGACAGCGATAATAAATCAATTGTCTAGCGGTTTATTTAAAGCCAATTTGGTTGCTAGGAAAGTGCACACAGAAAAACACCAGCGAAATCGGTCATATTTTGTTTTTTTCACACTGAAAGAGCCACTTATATGTAAGCAATAAATTTTTACGATTGGTATTTTAATTTTTGAATTAAAATTGAATAATTTTTTGATTTTATTCAAATAGTTTTCAAATTTTTAAAAGAATTTCGTTAGAACTGATAACTTCAGAAAATTTGGTCTTATTTTATTTGTCTTGAATTTTTAGAAAAATAAAAAATTATTTTAAAGATTTTTTTAAGAATTTAATTTTGTTAGTCATGAATGTTTACTAAAATATATGTAAATATTTTTAAAATATTTGAATATAATTGTCAGGTTTGGGTTTTCACTTAATAAGAATTGTTAAGAATTTAAAAGAAATTTGTTAAAATTTGGAATATGAAAAAGTAATTGGAATGACGGGAAACCCACTTAACCTAAGTTATCACCAAAAGGTCGAAGTAAATAATAAAAAAACAAACTTTACGGCGCGGTCAAATAAACTGGGCATGTATAATACATGTAACTCCACTTAAGGCTTGTGAAAAGTGAATAGCGTACTAAAGCAGCTTACGTTCTCGCAAAACCCCAACTATATAAAACAACTTTTTAACCCAGTGTGTGAATGAACTAAGTTTTTTAAAATTTTAATTTATTTTTTTACCATAAGATTTCCGGAATTTTGTTTATATCGATTTAAAATTATTTAAAAATGCGATCCAATTTGTACTGTGTATAATTTTATTTCTTCTCTTTGCTTTCGTTTTCTTTTTTCGCCACTCTTTTTGCGATAGGATCTGCATGTTTTTTTGGCCAACCGGGAAAGGGTTAATAAACTTGTTCAAAATAAACCAAGAAAACCGATCGCATGTAGCTGCTGCCGTTAGCAAATTTGCTTTCTTTTCGCCTCGCCTCGCCACAGCCATTCGTTTTAATTGCTTCAAACTTGACCTTAGCACCAGATAACCAAAACTCAGAAAAGAAACTAAAACCAAAACTCAATGTTCCTAAAGACTAACAAAAAAAAAAAAAGCGCACAACTCAAATTGGCCATTAACGCGACTTCGACTTGCACCGCATCGAGATCGAGCCTGGCCGAGTGACGCAAAAATAGAAAAATAAAAAAAAGGTTAAGTATACGCCGAGCGGGCCGAGCGTCGACTGCGCTGCCTGCGTCGACGTCATCTGCTGGCCGCCCCGCCACGCGAAGCTAGCAGCTCGCAGCTCGAAGCATTTTGTTTATTTATACAGCCGAGCGGGTAGAACTCCATATTAGTGTCTTCTTGGCGTTTGCCGCAGTCGAGTCCGAGTCTCGAGTCCGTTTCTAAAACTGAATCTTCAGGAGGCAACGGTCGTGCGACAGTGTGTGTGTGCCAGCAGTGCCAGTGCCAGAGAGAGTGTGCGTTAGCCAAGTTTTGCAGGGAGACCAGCGAAAAAAGCCAGCCGAAAAGCCCAACAGGTACGGAAGTGATTTCAGTTTGGTTTTTTTTTTGGGGCACATCAACATCTGCGGCGTGAAAGTGTTGCATAAATTAGAGAGCAATTCTTAGGCGAAAAGTGGGCCAAAACTGTAGGCCGACTTATTCTACTGCCACCGAACTGCAACCACTGGGGTCCGTCTGATTTTTCTCGTCGACCTTAACCCAATGCATCGTACATAGATTAAATGCTGAAAACTGGCTTGAGTAGCTGCAATTTTGCCATTCAGCGAAGGCCAAGACTCTGGCTGCAGCATTGAGGCGGCCAAAACTAAACGATTTGAACTTGTAATCGATTGCGATTCAATTTGCAGCTGCATCGCTCCAACGGCCTTCTATATACTAGACACCCAGCAACAAGCCACCCCCTTGCGAAGATGACCACATTTCATGGTTAGGCAAACAATTTAGAAGTTCCCACGAAGCGAAGACACGGGCCATATCCGTTACAGTTTCTAACGAAAACACTGACGAACCGAGAGTTTGGGCCAGGAAAAATCCAATTAACGCTGCAAATATTTGCCAAGTAATTAAAGGTTGTCAGTCGGCCCAAAAAATACACCAACTCTTACTGTTTGTGCACAGAGAACAATTGTAGTTGTCAGAAAATTAGACTGAATTGGAAAATTAAAAATAGGTACAGAAAGTATATAATTTACAAACCATTTAAATATATTGAACGCTACATTTGTGGTTATAAAATATGTTTGTTTTTTGCCAAAACGAAATTTAAATTTGAATACTTAATAATTTAAACAAATTTCTTAAAACTTTAATTTTGATTTAACTAAAAAAAATATTCCATTCTTGAAGATTAAAGTAAATTAAAGTAAATATTTTTTCAGTTTGCGTTATTCAAATCATTTTTAAAACTAAATAAACATAAACACCGAATTCGTTGTTCGCTTCTCATACTTTGTATCTAAGCCAAACACATGCCTTAAAGTAAAGCACAGATGTATTGAAATATTCAATCAATTGAATTGTATATCGATTGATATTTGATTGATATTTTTTTCGGTGTGGGTTATAGTTATGGATGTATATGTGGCGTTTCTGCGGTTCGTCAAGTGCCCAACTGCCAAAGTGCCGAAGTGCTGGCTGACTCGGCGCGTTTCTTTGCCTACTCTGTAAATGCCTCGGCTGGCAGAAAAAATTAATTTACAGCGCTAAGCAAGCATGAAACCATAAAACATGTGCACTTGAAACAGGCAAAACTAACTAAATGATTAACCTGTTGCACTGTAGCCACGTTGGGGAAACAATTGGTGAAACAATGCATCGAAAAAAAATGTACAAATTGTCATGGTGCTCGACCCGGTGTCAGACTCATACCCGTTTACTTAGAACAGACGCGTTTTTTGAGCCACTTGCCCGATTGCATCGCACAACGCAATAGCAACAGGCCATCAATGGGTTAATGTATTCGGAAATTTCACATGGCTAATTGTTGTCATTTGGCCAACACTCAGGTGCGTGTGAAAATATGACTGTGACGCCTGAAATCCATAGAAAAACATCCGCCCCGTTGGATTAAAATTTACATGTGCACACACAAATAATTATATAATGTTAGGGCATGTTTAGGTACAATAAACAAACTTTTAAAATATTCAAATTATCTAACATAAAAAACTTTTCTTAGCTAACGATTGCTTGAATGTTTACATTTAATTATAATAATATTTATATCTTTATATAAAAAACGTTTATTTATTATAACAAATTACTTAAAAAAAAAATTTCAAAGCCATTATTTATGTTAACAAACGATTTTTTCCTGTGTACACACGTGGCGACATAACACGAAAGAAATACCTTTTGCCTTCTTGGCGCAATCTTGCAAAATAAACATGCAAAACTTACAGCTTTTGTCTTGTGGCACATTAACAACATTTAAATCGCAGATACCGATACATATAGATACATCGCTCGCAGATGAAAGACTAATGCCCCTTCGGCCTTCATTTGATTTCGAATTAGTGGCAAATTAAGTTGTTTTTTTCCGACTTTATAGTAAACCTTTTATTTTTAGAGGCAAAATCGTAAAAATTAACGCTTTTTTCGGTGCTTTTCCGCAACGCAGCAGCAGCAGCGCTCTTTGGGTGTTTAGATACTTTTCGAATTAGTCACAATACAACGCATTTGAAATTATGGCAAAGTTGTGTTCGAGTGCTGGGTAAACCCAGTTCCGAGTGGCGAGTATCAAGTGATAATGCTGACAAATCAGCTCTTAAAGGGTACAGAAATTGGCAAAAGCGAAAATCAATTATGCATACAATACACATAATTTTAATGCGTGCGCGGCAGTATTGTGTGGCTTGTGAGCTTCTGCGTTTATTTTTATTTTACTATTCAATTTTAATTTTAATTTATTTATGGCGGAAGACAGAGAGCTAGCTTAGAATCTAGCCTTTGGGGCAAAAGGTAGCCAGCTAGCTGACTGGCTGGCTGGGGTTTCCCAAAAAGGGTTGAGATCTCAACGTCAGCAGCTGTTAGTACGAAGGCAGCCAGCGGAACAGTCGCCTGACTGCCAATTGGCGTCACATTTTTGGCTTGAGCATGATCATGATCATGATAATGATCGTCATAATGATGATGATGATGCGGCAGGCAGCTCACTTTTCCTGTCTCCAGTGTCAGTCTATGGATGCCAAGTGCCTTGCATACAGATGGGTTTTGGGAATGGCTAAATAGCTCTGTAGCAATATAGATCTATAGCTTTATGGATATGGGAAGGCGATTTTCGATGGCGATGGCGATTGCGATTGCCTTAACCCTGACAGAGACCTAGTCTCAGTTGCTGTCGATCAGCGGTAGTCAGCACATATCAATCATACGCCGAGTGTTTCCAATCAGCGTCTGTAGACTGTGGCAGGTGTTCTGCTCTTCGGCTTCCAGGCTCTCCAAATCTAATTACACGCCATGTGATCCATGAAAAGTGTCATACTGCCAGAGCACAAAACTCCAGTCATTGGAGAATCATTATATATGTTATAGTAGTAAAGCAGGCCGTGCTTTCTAAGTTTAAAAGTTTCGGATCATTTTGCCAACTAGTTTCATTTAATTATTCGGCGACATAACCGACTGGATTGGATTGAATTGGATACCTTTAAGCATATAGCTTAGAATACCATAACTAGCTAATTATACAAACTAAACTAAACATATATACGTTCGAGAATCTTCTGGCGAAGAACGAGTTCCGGTTCGAGTTGGCTAGGTCAGTGGTTAATGAACACGATTTACACAAGAAACAAGAAACGAGTTCTCTGGCTGCCATGTAATTGAATACATTTGATGGGTCAATCTCAATCGAAAACTCTTTCCGTGTGCAATTTAAATAACAATGTGAGGTGAAGAGCACGAGGGCCATGATCGCATAGAACATTAAGTCCGTGTGTTTCTACCATTTTTATCTGAGAAACAAATACAGATGGACAGACGTAGAAGCAGAAGCCAAGATGAATGCCAAAGTTAGCCTAAACTTTAGTGCCAAGGCGAAAAATTCAAATGAAGCCTTGAGTCGTCTGGCTCTTTTCAGGTTTCCAAGCCATTGACTTGCGGTCGTGGTTTTGGCCAAAGAATCTTAAAGATCTTAAAGACATCTTCTTCGTTATCGATTCGCCAGAGATATAGACAGCATTGGGGTGCACTAGCAGCCCGACTTGCTGTCGTCATTCATCATGCGATTGGGTATAACTCTATAAGCGATTTCTTCGCGCCTTTCATTAAGAAATCTGTGGCGTTCCTCGCCACAAATTCCGATGCAAATCACGCTCCTCGGCGAGCCGAGCGAAAAAAAAAAGAAAAATAAACGTGCTGAGCCTCTCAAAGCGAACGCGATTTAGAATAACTTTTCATTCAATATTTTGGCAACGCGGCGTTCGGACGTCGGGCTCTGAATTCTCGATTTTGGGCGAAATTTATCTAAAGCTCGTAAAAACATTTTTCTTACAGTTGCCAGAATGACGACCTACATGAAGATTGTCGAGGAGCGCATCTCCGGCCTTTCCAAAGGCGTGGGTGAGTTCAATAATTTTTGAAATATATATTAAAATATTTAATTATATAATAATTTATTCCCCAGATGAAACGGTGGACAGCTGGTTCCTGATGAGCTCCCCAGCCCCCGTATTTGCCGTGGTGCTCGTCTACCTGGCCTTTGTGCTCAAAATCGGACCCGAGTACATGAAGAACCGCAAGCCCATGGACCTCAAGCGCATCATGGTCCTCTATAATGCCTTCCAGGTCTTGTACTCCATTTGGATGTGCCGCACGGTGAGTCCATAAAAACGAAGCGTCATAATTATTCAGTTCGATTTATGTATTTTGTATGTATTCATTTTTAATAAGCCACGCATCAAAGTGCCTGCTGAACATATAAAATTACGGGCTGCCCGGGCTTGCATTAGAAATTCACAACTTTAAATAGATCTAATACGTTGCGTTGGCAAAAAATTGTTAAAAATTCTGGTCGGGGCATTTTTATTCGACCATTGGCATACATTAAACTTAAGCAGAAGCGTGGCTTTTTAATGAATGAACGAATACACGTGAATGAATAATTTCGTTTTATTGGAACTTAAAAATTAGAAAGGAATATTGCTGATTAGCAAAAGCCTTTAGAAAGACATACAAAGTTCTAAAATTTATTAATTATTATTAATTATTAATTAAATGCGCTTTTTTTAATAGCCTTTCAAATTTTTAGACCAGATACTTTATATGTACTTATTGCCTTATAAATTATATTATAAAAGAGCAACGAATTCTGTATATTCGTGGAATGAAATTTTATAAACTTTATTCAATTTCCTGATAGTTGCTTTTAAGAAAAACATATAAATATACTATATATATATATACTCTATTTTAACTATCCTTTCTAATCTTTTAGTCAGATAGTTAATTTAAAATGTATTAAATGTTTTTTTAAAGGAGGTATTTACTATATTGAGATTAAAGTAGTTCTAAATTGTCATATTAGGTTTATTAAGCTATAAAATACAATTGTTTTTGCTCGTCTTTCTGATCTTTTAGCCATATCGCCTATTTAAAATGTAGAAATTTAGTTTTTAAGGGGGGTATCTTGTCTTATAAAAGGAAAAACAAATTATAAGGTACCCTATTCTTATGAACAACCTTTCTAATCAATACTACCTCTCCCTTTTGCAGTCCATCCGAGAGAGCAACGTGATGTCGTCGATCTTCTCGAAGAAGTGCGAGATCAACCGCACCAGGGAGCAGAACCTGGCCCTCTACTCCGGCGCCTGGTTCTACTTCTTCTCGAAGATTATCGATCTGCTGGACACGACGTTCTTCGTGCTGCGCAAGAAGGACAACCAGGTGTCGTTCCTGCACGTGTATCACCACACCATCACGGTGCTCTTCTCCTGGGGCTACCTCAAGTACGCTCCCGGGGAGCAGGGCGTGATCATCGGGATCCTCAACTCGGGAGTGCACATCATCATGTACTTCTACTACATGGTGGCCGCCATGGGACCCCAGTACCAGAAGTACCTCTGGTGGAAGAAGTACATGACCAGCATCCAGCTGATCCAGTTCGTCCTGATCCTGGGCTACATGCTGACCGTGGGCGCCAAGGGATGCAACATGCCCAAGACGCTGACCTTCTTCTTCGTGGGCAACACGGTGATCTTCCTGTACCTGTTCGGCAACTTCTACCGCAAGACTTACAAGAAGACCAAGAGCTTGGATGGCAGCGGACGCACCGGCTCCAGTTTGGCCAAATCCGCTCTGAGGGCCGCCGGTGGACTGGGCTGCATGCCGCAGACCATGAACGCTGGCAAGCACCTCAGCCTGCAGAATGGCCAGCCCGGAAAGGCCTACCTCGATATGAACAACAACAGCGTGAAGCCGGTGAAACTGGAGTGAAAACGATCCTTAGTATCCCCTGGGTTTCAGTTAGCAATTACGTTTTTTAGAGCGGGGCTTAGTTTGTAACTCTTACCGTTTACCATTTACCATTTACCATCTACCAATTACCAACTACCAACTACCAATTACCAATTAACTTTAGTCTGCGGAGAATACCTTGTATAATGTTTATATGCCGCGACAGGCGACGATTCAAACCCAAAAAGTAGATAGGACCCTAAGAGCTGTGTGATTGTGGCCATTGTCTGACTGAGTACGTGTTAATGTTTTTCTAGCCGAGTGTGTGTGCGTGTGCGCCAAGAAGTGTGATAGAGCTTATTAATGAAATGCAGCCGTAAATCGTTTCGCGAAACAAGAATTCAATAAAAACTTTGATTTTGTATATTAAATAAAATCCAAACTGTGTCTCTGTTCTTTGCCGGCATAATTCGGGTTTGGAGTTTAAGGGGATTTGGGTTTTTGGGGTTTTTAGTTCTGCACGAGGCTTTGCGGGTTTTCGGGTAACCAAACCGGATCCCATTGGATCCCCAAATTTATGACAGCACTGCCTGGGCACGCGCTCCATCCAGCCAACAATAAAATTATGCAGATCTGCAAGACATCAGATGTTCTTTGAACATAAAACATGATTAATGTCTGTCGATTAAGCACCGTGATTAAGCCCACGTCTTTTTTTTGTCAGCTTGCCCAGTTTAAATTAAGCATACAGTGGGGAAGCTTTGTTTTTATTACTAAAGAACAAGTGTATATATTAAAGGAAATATTGTCTTTTTTCAATTTAATATTTGTTTTATTTGGACAAGATCTCGTAACAAAGTTATGAAAAATGTATGGTTTTAAAATGAATCTTAAAAACAATTTTCTGCGGTCATTCCAGACAATTTATTAAAAATGAGGAAGTTCCTAAAAATACATATTTTCTTAATTAAAATTGGCAGTCAACAAAAACGTGAAAAATATATGGCTTAAAAATTCATCATAAAATTGCTTTTCTACAATATACAAGCAGCCATTGCAGACCAGATTTAAAAAATAGATAGTTCTTAAAAATAAATATTACCTCACTTAAAATTGGCAATCATATTGATGGTAATAAGTATAACGTTTAAAAATTACCATTACAAAAAGTCAGAGTCTTACTGCCGAAAATATAAATGCAAATTCCTTAGAAAGAAACATGTTTCAATTTCGTCGATATTTTTTTTCCGAGTGTGTCACTTGGTACGCGTGTTGTGCTGATTATGCAACATTCTGACCGTCGACTTGTTTTCTGGCCCGGCTTAGACACCCTGGCGGCGATTGGGAGAATGTCTTTGCCAAATTAGAATTTCTAATCAATTTTTTCTCCCTCACCTTGACTCACACACATGCCCAGCATCATCACATGTAGCATCTTAGGTTATGCAGATTTGGGATAAAAATACCTTCTTGACTCTACTCAATGGAGTCAAAGTTCAAGGGCCTGATAAAGAGTTTGATATGTATCTGAGGGCTTCTTTGGGTAGGCGAGTATTTTAAAATATGCCTTTAATTTGGCCAAAAAATTTGCATAGGTCAAGCTTTGCCTAAAAACGGCCTGAAAGTATGCCTTAGAAAATGGGTATGGAAATTGTCCAAAGTTTTTTCGTTAATAAAGAAGACACTACTAGACTAGTTCTATAGTTCTGCAACTAGTATCAGTATGAGGCTAGATATAATCTATGAAGATCAGGCCATAAAACTGGAATAATATTGGCATAAAACTTAGCTCCGGTTAAGCCAGATGAAGATCGAGGCTCACTTTGTTTTCTCGTGTTTTGTGGTCAAGATCAAGGTCAAGTGTCCAAAAACCGGCTCTATTGAATACTGTATCCGCACACATCGAACACTGCGCAATCGCAACCCCACTTGAAGATGCGTTTTCACTTCCGCTTCGGTTCCGTTTTGACTGATTGATCAATAAAAGGCGCTGGAATTTATCAAAATCTTATCTCAGCCGCCTTTCAAGGTGCCTGCGAAATGAGCGCTAATGAGTGGCCACAGTCGTGTTCCCAGTGCCTCGTAAAAATTCATGAACTGGACATGCTGCATCACCCCATAGACCAGTTCTGGCCACGCCCATTCATATTCAAATCACCCATCATGTTACGGATGTCTTTGCTTCCGCCACTGAATGAATGAATGAATAGATTCGACTCTTTATATCAGATGGTGCTTCAATTTAAGCCAGCTTCATTTCCTTGAGAAAAGGTTTCCTCAAGTGATTTGCCTGAGGTTAACTGAGATCATGAATGGTTAACTCAGATTAGGATGAAAATGGGTGTGGTTGCTCTCTGGGAGATTCCCCAATGTTATCTAAACGACAAATACCATTAAAATTGTGTGACTCTTTAAATAAACATGGAGTGAACATTTAAGTTTACAGGAAATGACTTTTGCTATTCGAGGACAACATAAGATAAATATCACAAATATTTAAAAACATTTTATTAACTTATTTAATTATATAGAAATTTAAAGCAATATTTTATTAAGCGTTTCTGCTTCAAAAACCTTGTTATTACATTTAAAAAAGATCTGCTAAATCAATATCACAAATATTTAAAAAGATTATATTAACTTATTTCATTTTATAAAAATTTAAAGCAATATTTTATTACGAGTTTTAATTAAGCTTTTTCAAAAAACCTTGCTAATGGATTTAAAAAAGATCTACTAAATCAATATCACAAATATTTAAAAAGATTTTATTAATTAATTTAATTTTATAGAAAATATAAATATTTTTGAGTGCATTAAATAAAGATGATTTTAAAAACATTTTTAATGGATTTTAAAAAGCTCTACGTAATCAATATCAAATATTAAAAAAGATTTAATTGACTCATTTTTGTTCGAGTATTTCATAAATCTGCTTTTAAAAACCTTTTTAGTGGACCTTCATTTTTATTTTAATACAATTAAAGTCAAAAAGATTATTTCTTTGTAAATTAAAGAATGGAAACGTCCTTCAATATAGCATGTTTGTTTGTACATTAATAGATTACCTGAGTTTTAATTTTAATTTTATAGCCCATTTTCTTAAAGCACGTTTTTTAATAGATTTTAGATGTCTCAATAAATTTATTGAAAGAATCCTTCTTGATAAGTTGCTCATTGTGAATACACTCAATTTGTAAAATCACAAGGTCTTCCCTTCGGCCATTTCCCATTCACGAGACAAAGAATAATTCTCATTGTGGTGTTTTTTTCGATATTTTTGTAGAAAAAATTCTAGATTTATTTTTAAAATGTGTTTGTATTTATGGGTTCTTTATTAGCTAGTTTTGTCACTTGTTTTATGCCTACTTTACATACCGTACGTACATGTACGAGTATATAAAATCTAAAGAAAACACATTTGCATGCGTGTACCTACACTTATTTACACAACTAACGCTTCTTCTGCCTGTTTACTTAACTTAACTTAGTTCAGTTTTGGCCGAAAGACATACGACTTCTTTCATTTGGGTCCGCCAGATCATGCGAACATCAAACGGAGCGAGCGATGATGACGATGGCTGCAAAAAGCAATTTCAACTGTTTGAACATTTACATTTACATAATATGTGTATCTGTGTCTCGAAAACCTCATTTGCTCAAAAATATCTATTCGTCTCGTTTCGTTTCGTTTTGTTTCTTTTTGGCGGCGGATTACTTAAGAAATTAGTCAACAAGGTTGCACATAGAACATGGGTGGCTCTCAGTGGGTGTTTTTTTTTTCCCGCATTTGGTACGAGTATTGAAGGGGGGAGTGGTGGGGGTGAAGAGTGGTTGGTGGGTGGCTAAGGCCCTCTTTTACAAGGACTTCTGCTTCATCTGCTTTTCCAGCTCGATGGCCTTGTTGAGGTCCTTGGCACATCCATCGTTGTTGTTATCCGTCGTCAGAGCCTTGGCTTTGGCAGCAGCCTGTTTCTTTTTGTAGGACTTCTGGTAGAAATCGTTGAACAGAAAGTAGAAGAACACGGCGTTGGGCAGGGTGAAGCACACCGACCATCTGGGATAGCCACAGTCCGTGTACAGCAGCTGGGTCTGGTGGATGAAGGCGCAGCAGAACTGGATCTGCAAAAGGAGAAGAATTGTAGAATCATTGGGTTAGTGGAAAAGGTGGAAATTATGGGCTCAAGAGTTCTAAGTACTTGATGTAACTATTTTATTTTATTAAAAATGGCTTTGTTTCATGAACCCTAAACTTAATTAAAAATAAAAAAATCTTGAGCTTCATAAAAATATAAATGTTTAATTAAAATATTTTTCGATTTAACAAATTTTTATCAAAATTCTTTACTACACAGAGAGGATAATCCCTGTACAATAACTAATTAAGCCAGACAAAAACAAGTTGATACAAAATATTACTCGTTTTGATCAAATTACGTATTAATTTGATAAGTTTGAATCAATAAAAGAATCAATAATTTCAGAACTCACCATCTGCAAGTTAGTGATGTACTTCTTCCACCACAGGTACTTCTGCATCTGGGGTCCGAAGGCGGAGAGGAAGTAGTAGGAGTACATGATGATGTGCACGAAGGAGTTGATCCAGCCGATGAAGGTGCCATGTCCGCCGGGGTAGTACTTGCTGGTGCCCCAGCTGATCATGGGCATCACGGTGTGGTGGTAGACGTGCAGGAAGGTCACCTGCCGGTCGTTCTTGCGCAGCACAAAGAAGATGGTGTCCAGCAGTTCGGTGATCTTGGCCAGATAGTAGACATACACCACACGGGCCTCCCTATAGGCCTTGGGCGTGCGGGACCAGTCCACCGGCTGACACCTCCAGCTGTAGTACTGCCAGATGACCACGCCCTCGTACACCATCCACACACTCAGGGCCACCTGGAAGAAGTTATAGACGAGTAGGGTGCGCTCCAGCTTGAAAGGTTTGCGATCCTTCATGAACTTGGGTCCCCAGGACAGCACGAAGAAGAGGTAGAAGGCCAGGATGCCCAGCAAAGGCAGTGGCGACTTGATCAGGAACCAGTCATTGGTGCGGGGATCTACAAAATAGTCACACATATATACATATATGGGATATATAGAAAAGAAATCCCCCACTCACCTGCCAGATCGGTAAACAGAAAGTTCCAATAGTCCACCTGCGTTGCGTTGACGGCTGCCATTTTTAAATATTCTTCGCTGGCCTTTGGCTCCCACTAAACACGAGTCTATAGCTTTTCGATCGCTTCGATGTGAAATTCAAAAATCTGCTAAGCCTGCGTCGCAACGAACGAGTTTGGCGAAATCTGAACAGGGGAAAGAACGGGAGGGAGTTGTATATGAGTCTGGATAAGTTATGCTAATGTCATTCTCGGGCCAACTCGAGAGCTGTTGCCGAGAGCCCACAAAAATAAATAAAATTATAATAATAATCAAAAGGCGAAAGAGAATAGCGACTAGCGAATAGCGAATAGCTAGTGTGACGGCGACGGTGAAATGCCGTGAAATTATTATCATGTAACAGTAGCAGTAAATTATATTCATTATTATGAATTAAACAACCGCGGCGGCGCAACAAATTGGTGGCCACCACATATTCATATGGGCCATGCCGGTTGCCTCACGGCTAAATTCACGGGTAAATTGGGCAGTGGCTCACGTGTGGAACGCAGCAAACCCACTCGCACTTCCAGTTGAAATTATGTTTGTGTTGTGCAGTTTGTTTTGCCTGAGATCTCAACAGAAGCTGTTTTCCAAAGTGGGACAGACTGAAGTATTCCCGGGTGATTGGTGGTGATTAATCATCCCAAAAGAACTTAGATCCACAGTCACGTTTGTTGACTTGAAGTCGCTACACACACTTGAACTTGGCAAAGGCCGATTAAGACCACAGTAATCGAATGGCATTATGATTTCTTTGTCGTTTTCGAGGCTATTCTGATCGGCTTCTTAAGTTGTGGAGTTTGTGTGAGTGCGAAGTGAGGAACAAATTGAAATAATAAACGAAAGAAACGGAGATATTTTGAAGGGCAAGTTGGCCAACAGCTATCAGCCATCAGCCATCAACAGGTTTGACTCTTGACTTTCCGGTCATTTCCTGCACTGAAGTTTGAATATTACCTGCAACAGTTAGCGCAGAATTGGGGCCAGAAAATTGATGCTGGGGTGACAAATGCCAGCAAATAAAAGCCGAAAAAGGTGCTAAACGCTTTTGTTGGCCACAGAGAAGTACGCGCTTTTAGCCAAGAAAATCCAGTTATTCGGATGCACGACCTTCTAGGGAATGGGTGCGATGTGAGTGGGAAAAGCCCGAAAACTGTCGCATCATTTGGACGCCGTCGTGTCTGGCTGATCATCGCCATCGCCAGCCAATTCGGAGGCATTTCCACTTGGTTAGTCATTTGTCAAATGGCCTAAGATCGCCAGCCTTGAAAACGCCCAGAGCGAGCAAATAGAAAATTGTGTCACCTATTGCCCAACTTCAAAAGTCGCAAAGCAAAAAGGCGGTTTTTATTTCGCCAAATTAAATTATGTCACAAAAGTTTAATGACCTTGACAGGTGGATATCTTATATGACTTGATATGGCACTTGTTATATGCCAAATATTAAGATGTTCTACGCCGGACTGAGATATTTAATATGAAAATGTTAATATATTTGCTTTTATTTCAAGCTGCACTAAGATCAAGATCTATATATAATGCATAGAGGATAAAAGTTAGACTTAAGAGGATACATTTGATTTAATAAAGATTGTTGTATCATCGATTCTAGGTTTCAATTTGTTATACCTCCAATCTGACTGGCTAACTGAAGTTTAAGAAAAGGATATCCTTTAACAAAGAAAATTACTTATGTTTATAGGAAGAAAACCATTTAAGCTTTAAAGTCAGTCGTAGTTTAATAAACTAATTCTATAACTTATTTTCTCCAACTTCTAATTTTACTAATTAAACTTTAAGAAAAGGCAATATTTTCTAATAAATATGATAGCATTCTAAGTCAGTCTTAGATTTGGATTTGCATTTTATTATTTAATGTTCTTGTTTATTGATTTGTTAAATGAAATCTAAATCGAACTAGACTTCAATTCGAATGGAAACTATTTGGGCAACTTAATAAAACACAAGTTCTACATTTCCTCTTCTTATACTTTTGATCTGATTGATCACTTGGGTATATACACACACTGGCACACACAAATGTAGAGCTTAGTTTGGCTGCGGCACCTGTTGCAATCTCTTCGATTGCCGTGCACTTAATTTTCAACGACGACAGCGAGAAACGCTTAATATTAACACCGTGACAACTGCTTTTTTTTCGACTTGTTCCGTCTGCTTCTTATGCCCGATATGAGGCACTACTATCTACTATATAGTGAGGTATAGTTTGGTATAGTATATTATAGTTTTTATAGTATAGTAGGGGGAGAGACCTTTGCTAGCATCCGCTACCCACGAGACTTGTACGCGCACTGAACTGCTACGCCGAGTTGTACGGCGCTATGTATAAAAATTTTGTCTTAAGGTTCGATTTTGGTGCTGCTGTTTCTTCGTCTCCGCTTCCCAATTTGTTTTTGTTTCAGTTTCAGTCTCAGATTTTAGTTTTTTGTTTAGCCACACTTTTGTCTCGGCTATTTGCCATCTTGCTCATCTTCATCTTTGACTTTAACTTTAAGTTTAGCTTTGGCTTCGGCTTTGCTCGAGATGTTCTTTTGTGCCGAGTGGATTTTGGATTTGCTATAAGCAAATGTATCGAGCGATCGTCGCCTGGTCTCGTTTTCCTATGACAATTGCGATGACAACGATGTTGGTTTTGTGTGCGTGCTGCCGGCTCTTTGTTTTTGCTGGCCAAATTCGCTGGGCGTTTAATTTGTTTTCTATTTGGCTGAGCAGCCTTTGTACAATTAAAAGAATCATAAAATATTCTTCAATAGTTGGCACTTTTGATCGATTTGGCTAAAGCGATGCGGCAGAACTTGTAGTAGAGGATAAGGAACTGAATTCAATTCTGTGTATGCTTCTACATTTTTTTAATTGCCTAGTCATAGAAGAAATATTATTTATTGTTGATAAAATTGTATTTGATAGTCTCAAATAATAAAAATGTTATTTAAAAAATAATTTGTTTTATATTTAATATTTTAATTTAATTTAATTATATGTACCTGTTATATTTGAAAGTTTCAAATAGAAAAATTTAATTTAATAAAATAATTTGATTTATTTTGAAATATTTTAACTTTTTCCCTTCAGAGACCAAATTATATAAGCTGACTAAGATCTAGATATTCTAAAATAAAATTATAATTTATAGCAAATCTGTCTCTGTTTAAGGTGTTATTTGAAAGCTTATACATTTGCATACATTTGCTGTAGTCCTCATGCTTAAATGTTTTTTGTTAAAATGTATTACTTAAAATATTTAAGTCAAAACATCAAAATATAAAACAGAAAGGCTGCCAATAAAGCAAGTTTATCTAATAGCCTGGGAATTGAAATTAAATGAGAGAATATTCTTTTTATACCTTCACCCTAATGTTATTTACGTTTTTTCTCAATTTATTGCCATTTATACACCCTCGTGTCATTAATGAGTATTCTGTCAGTTATTTTTCGATTTCACTGGGCACTTTCATCATTAGCCAGACACCAAAAACAAAAACCCTATAAATTCTCTTGAATAACCACAGAATGAAAATTTCATTCCATTTTGTTTTCGTTTTCTAGTAGTTCTTTTTTTTTTTTGTACTATTTCTTCTCCAAAAACCACTTGGCCAACCTTGACCCACTTGGAATACTGTTTCACGCTTTATCTTCATCACTATTTTGAACTTTAGAACCGAAACGTAACTGCGCAGGCGGTCAATAATTTCGTTGGCCTTTTTAAGGGGGAGTCAGCTAAATTCTCCAGACTCTAGTTTTACAAGCTTAACAACCATAACTGTTTTGAAACAATTGCTATTAACAGCAATAAACGGAATGATTTACAGCCAGAATATGATTAAGAGTTTTAGCTGCTGTTTCGTTAAAGCGGAGTTGGTCCAAGGAGACTGCGTATTTACCAGCCAATTTACATACAAATTCTTGGGGCCTAGGGCTCGGATTCTAACGACCCAGCAAGATCCGAGCGAGCGGATCGATTGATGCCCACTTCCGGGTCAAGTCGGTTGGCTAATGAAACCAACACACAACCAACTCTTTTTGGCCAAGCTTATGAACCCCAAGTCTGAAAACGTAAAATCAGAGGCTGAGGTTGGGGTCACTGAAAAGTTAACTGTGTCACCGGCGAATTGAACTTGAACTTGCTGGCGATTGGCTTATGCGTATGTCTCTAACCAGTTCGAATCCGATTGGACTGCATAAGATGTGGGTGAATGTCGACTGCGGCGGATGGTCGGATCTTCGGGTGAATCCCTTCGGCTGCCAGGAATCAATCATACGCCGTGTGCGCCGAGTTCATGTTCTTCCGGTCTTCAAGCCATTTGCATGCGTCTTTTGTTAGTTGGACAACCAGCCACATCGCAGATCATAATTGTATGCAAAAGACGCTAGTTTATTATCACCGTCGCTGCAGACGATTCATGCGATCGAGTTCGATATATATGAGGGGTGACTGCCAGTTATGCAAATATCTTCCGCAAACATTTACATTTAGCTAACAACCAACAGCCAAACTGGCCAACAAACCGTTAAGCAATTATTATTGAATTCGTTTGTGTTTATTCAAGCCAAATTGCGTAGACAAAAAAGAGTCACACAGGCAACAATCAAATGTGCAAAATCTCTTTTGCTTGTAGAATTCTTAATTGACGATGAGACAAAACATTATAAAGTAATTATAAAGTTATGTGATTTTTCTTCAAGGACGCCAAACAGTTTTTAATATCGATTTCCTATGTTTCAAAGTCTGCAAAATTGGACAATTTTATTTCCATTTTTAGCCGCAATATTGTTAACAGCAATTGCAAATTAGGCTCTTAAATGTTTAATTGGCCGCATTAAAATTGTTTGCGGTCTGCCGGCTTTAATTTCTGAGCTTGGCTTTTTCACACGCTGCTGGCGGCATCTGGAGCTCGAGTTTTAAAAGCTTAGCTTAAAGCTTTAAATCGGTGGAGAGTTGCCGGCTTTGTTAAAAAATATAGGTTCAAATACTTAGCCGCTGAGTTTTGAATTTGGATTAAACAAATATATTCTGTTTATTTTCAGTTTAAGGCTAAAAACCCAGATTAAACAACAACTTATACATTTATGCAGTAGCTTAGGTCGCAACCCTTCCCAATTGTTATTATTAATTAACTATTGTTGGAGCTTTGTTAAAACTTCTATATATAGATGATTCAAAGATAAAGTCTGTTAATATCATGAATCTCAAAACTAAAGTTTTCTGGTGTCTCACAATAAACATAATAGTAATCGCCAAAAAAATACTAATAATAATAATCTTTTTATTAATATGTACTACGAAATTTACATTTACAATCATTTATCTCTTATCATGCAGTCACAATTAATAAATTAAATAAAAGTAAAAAATAAAAATAAAAACAAGGAGAAAACATTTTCATGCACATGTTGTAATGAGAATTTAATTAAGAACTATATTTCATCAGGAACTCGTGCATAATCATTGCTGCTTACACCTTTCAATTAATTTCACAGAAGTTATACGCATACACGTGACTTAATTAAAGCCCCCAACCAAATATTAATTTTTATGTTTACGCCGAAGACGGCATATGATTAGAAGAGGCCCACTTAAGTGAACAATGGGCCAATGATGCTGTTGCGATTATCAGATTATATGTCAGCTACAGCTAGTAACTAATCGCGTTGTAACAGGGTCGATGCTCTATGGCCACTCAATTGGAGTGGCTCGTTACCAAGTCAATTGCGCAAATCGAACTCGTTTGCCAGCACGGAAATGCCGGGCTTAGACCAAAGATTCGTTTTTTTTTTCTAGCGGGCCTCTCGCGAACTCTCCATCTCGATCGAAACCTCAAATCGATCGAATTTTTTGGAGTCGAAGCTGGCCAACTACCACCACTGGCAACTACCGTTGGCCTGCCCTTGGCAAGAACTCGTTTCGAGCGATAAATTGAGAGAAAAACAAAAAGATTAATATGTGGAGAAAAAGAAATCACACTTCCGTTTCCTGATCGATCAGAAAATGCCTAAGAAGCTTAATAGATTCGATTTCGCTGGTTGCGCAGAGCGGTTTTTATTTGAATGCATAATTATAAATACTAGTCGAGATTTTTTTTTCTATATTTCTTTGCCAGCTTTCGAAAAGTATCTGAAGCAATTTGCTGACTGCTGTCTGTGATTTTTTTGCGCTCAACAACTGTGTCAAGTTCAAAGTGAACTTTTAATTGCTAATCGAGTGAGGAGGGATCTATTCTTGGATCAGTCCGCTCTTAATTATTCAAAATAATGTATCGTAGAGTTTTCAAGTTCAGCATTCGGCAGCAACGACATGTGTGTTGCCAAGAACTTTACCATTTGCCCGCCGTTTTGCCTCATAGACCAGAAAATAAAATGCGAAGAGCTGTATATTTTTGGATTTATGTATGTGTATTTGGGGTAAACAACTAGGAGTTGACTCGATTTGTTTGGCTGTAACTGAACACACGTTTGGCCAATTGATTAGCAGCCTCAACGGCATTCGGCCTCTAATCTGACTGACATGTTCACTGGTGGATCTTGAGGGGGTTCTAGGGCTCAGCATCTCCTGAAAATGAATTACCTTTTGTTAAATCGTTTCTGAAACTGTAAAAATAAAATGATTCATCTAAGGGTATAATACAATCTACGTTGACATTTAAAACCTGCAAAATTAATTTGAAATATCAGCATCATTTGAAAATTAAAAATTTTCTTTTGCCTGCAGATCTTTTCAATGTTCAAATGTATAATGTTTACATGTTCAATGTTTTTTCCTAATTTTAATATTAGTTTTTAAGTCATATTTATATTAAGACTATCAGTTATTTTTTTAAAAACCCCCACAAATATTTTTTTTCTCTAGCCCTGTCCAAATTAGCCAGCGTGACCATCGAACGTGCCATCTTCTCGGCTCCACCAATTCTCTTTGGCCATTGCCCAACTGAATCTGGGCAGCAACTTCTGAGTTTGCCCATTCAATTGGGGCCAAAAGTGATGTGTGTTCGGCAAAAGACTTTGTATATTGAGCTTGAAATTCCGAATGATACAAATATGTTTAAATGTTCAAAATTAAACTCTTGTCGCTTTTTCGAGACGACGCCGCAAGGTCAGGGCGTGCTCGCTTTTCTGCACCAAATTGCAACGCAATTAAGACTAAGTACTGTATATGGCCCGATCTGCAGATAAACTCGCGCAGACGAAGTTGACATGAAACATTTGGCAATCCAATAGCGGCGGTTGCGAAACTCTGTACAACAAAATGTTGGTACCTTAATGAAAAGCCTTAACAAGCAGCTATTAATTGGTAATTGCTGTTTACAGCTCCGATAATCAGGGGCCGACCCAATGCCGGCCTTTC